TTTCACGAACCCTCATACACCAACACCCAGAAATCTAAGGCCAACTACAGCCATTTCTGAACTTCCCTAACGAGACCTACAGTTACAACAAGATCACAGGTTGCCAGACATGTAACGCACCCTGTATCCCGAACATTGGTCACTTAAAAAATACACAAAAAATAACCTTTATTTCTTCTCTTGTCCCCTACCTTCAAACTGAACAACAAATCCAGCCTTCACAAAGAAGTATTTGTAGTTTTCAAGACTGACCTTCAAAAATCCATACCCGCTCCTGTACTTGCTCGTCTTGCGGACAGCAACATCGAGAAGCAACTGTTGTTAAGTTCTAACAAGGGACTTTGTTAAATTGAAACGTGTGAGGTTGTTGTAAAACGCTCGTGCATTGTGGTTACATTTGGCTCGTCTCAATCGTCCACTACAAACATGAATATGGTTAAAAGCTGAGATTTTTAACTTGAATATATCAACAAATAAAACCCTGCTTCCGCTCGTTTTCTTCTTCTGGTGCCCTTCCATCGCGACATACAAACTCGTATCGTATACGAAAAAATAGTCAGAGTGCAGGCGAGCTGGTGTAAGTTGAACATGATTGTAAACCTGAGACTGGGGCAGAAAAGAGAACACAACAGAAGGTAGTAAAAGAGGAGGCAACGTCTCAATTGAGACGTTCCCTCCTCTTTTACTAACTTCTGTTGTGTTCTCTTTTCTGCCCCATTTGAGACGTTGTCTCCTCTTTTACTACCTTCTGTTGTGTTCTCTTTTCTGCCCCAGTCTCAGGTTTACAATCATGTCGTATCGTATGTTGCGTATTGATGGGATAGATAAAAAAGAAAACAATCTTTGCTTGATTTAATTAAATATGGTAATTAGCAAACTACAAATGTAACGTGTATGTAACGATACGTTCCATTTTTTTACGCTGTAACGGGAACGAGTTCCTTTTTCACAAATGGAACTTGTAACGGGAACGCGTTCCCAAAATCAGAAGGAACGAGGAACGAGCTTTCGTTCCTTTTTTTGAAGAACGTGTACAACACTGATTCTGACGAATAACAGCGCCTCAAAATTGCTTATATATATATCAGTGGCGTCACGAGGGTCTGCGGCACCCGGGGCGGCAGCCCGCCGCAACACCTTCCCCCACCCCCCCGCTCTCGCGTGGCCCGCCGCGACTTCCCCCCCCCCCCCCCCCCCCCCTCCCCCGGAGCGCTGCACCCGGGGCGCTCCGCCCCCCTCCCCTTGTGACGCCACTGAATTATAAATAAATATATATATATATATAATTTTCAAATGTGTTTCTTAACCTACCGCGCTACGGCTTTGTGCAGCGTTGCCCACAGATGGTGCATTTTTTCTGTAAAATTTGCAAAGAGCAAACTTACTTGAGGAAAAAGTACAGAAAGAAAAAGGCTTAGCTCCTATGGAAACGCAGCGAAGCCACCGGTCTTCAAACAATACGGCGCCGCATCGCACGGGAGACAAGAGATGGCGCAAGCGGTCGCGACGCCAACTGCCGCCGACGAACGAGCACACAGCGCTGAGAGCCGGCGTCTTTAGCAGACGATCGTTTCGACGCAAAAGCGGAGCGAGCTTTTCGGATATCAGTTGTCAATGCATTATTTTATCATCCTTACTAAAAAAAACATTGAATGGACAGATAATCGATTATAAAAATGGTTTGCCGGGATGTTTTGACTGTTTTTTTTTTTTTTCTTTCTTCCTTTGGGATGTCGTCTGCTTTGCAGTTCCTTGCTGTTACCGCGCCTGTTTTTGTTTCTGCAACTGTCGCTTCCTGCGGAACGCGTGCCGCTTCGAAAAAACGCAGTCTGAGTTGTGAACTTAAGCAATGCAAGTGTGACGTTTTGTATCAACTTTGAACTGCGTTTTTTGGTCTAAACATATGTTTCGGCATCGTCCTTCGCTGAGCTGCCTCCGTAAGTTGCGGTGGTTGGCTCTCCGAGCCTTGTGCGGGAAAGTAGACGCACGGGCTTTTTTTTTTTTTTGAGTGTGCGCGTGCCACGGTTTCAAGCTTTAGTAAAATGTCCTACTACAAATATCACTTCAACAATAAACACAACGCGTGAAACAGGCTTTGCCGTGCGTTACCCAAACAGCGCATGAGGCCAGCTGACGAGCCGATTCAAGATCTGCGCGGTCTGTCCCAGTATGTGCTAGCCGTGACGTCGCAAACGACGATGATGATGCTGATGATAGTTAGCGAAGCGCGCCCTGTAGTTCGCGCACGCCGCCAATAACTTTTTTTTTTTTTTTAGCTGCAAAAACAAATTACGCATTACCGAACGCTTATTCTCCGCTCCAATGTAGCCCTAGCGGTCCGAACCAGATGCCAAAGTTTCAAAACGAACCATCATCTCAGTCAAAAATTATAGATTTCCTAAAAATTTCAAAGGGAAAAGGGGCCCGTCTTCGCCCGTTTTCGGTAACTGGCGCCATTCAGCTGCATGCATTATAAGAGCTCCATCGGCCACCATTTTCCCATTAAAATTTTTTTAGAAAATCCGTTATAAATTTTTAATAAGATAATGGTTACTTCTGAAACTGGCATCTGATTGGGACTCCGGTTGAACGTGTTTCTCCACGCCGTCACCGCCTGAGGGGAAATTTATCCAGTGCTTTGGAGGGGAACACTCCAGCGCGCCGCCGCCGTCAAGTTCCGACCGGCGCACAGGTCTATCACGTGGTGTTTGGGCTCTCTCAGAAGCTTCCTTTAGGCTCTAAAACTTATATTAACCTTCGTTGTTTTGTTGCACTTCAAACGGAGATGAATATCAAACTTTTAGAGACCATAGGAAGCTCCCGAAAGAGCGCAGGCAACACGTGACCATAGAGGCCAGTCACGTGATCATAGCGGCACTTTTCCGCGAGCGCCTACTACAAATTCGTTTCGCGCCGTAAATATAGCTCTAATTTTTTTTTTTTCGCTGTATATTCGTTTTATGACATCCTTTTTCTATCTAAACTGTTTAAAAAATTTTTTTCTTCTTTGCATGTGTTCTTTAAAGGGGTACTTCAACGAAATTTGAAATATTCCCGTCGTGTTCAAAAATAGGTTGAATATGATCCACAATATCCGTAAATGACAATCGCACGTTTGTATTTTGAGCCTGGGTGGCTGTATTTTTCGTTATAAACGGCCCACTCTGGCAAGCGCTCGAAGGCCCAGCGGAGACCACGTGACATCCAACGCAATCGTGACGTAGGTCTCAGGACGAGTAAAGCTACGGCGAGGCTGACGTCGAGAGGATGGCCTAGTCGTTCCAGCCACCGAAGCGGCTGCTTTTGTACGAATTTTGAGTGACGGGTTAATCTTCTGTAATCTCGTAGGGCGACAATAGCGACTTCTGCGACACACAAAAGGCATTCTCGGGAAGAGGGGAGTTCCTCCTGCCCCTCTTCTCTCGTCGTGGCCGGAGGCGAGACAACGTCCGTCACTAGCTGTCAAGGTTCCTAGACGGGCATTACAAGCGAGGCGTTAGCGACATCCACCAGGTGCTCTTTGCTAATCGTTTAATTCATTTTAAAATTCCTTTTCGTGACTTTTTTAACAAGATATTCGTATGTTCGATGTGATGCTGCTCCTTGGAACACATATAAATAAAAAAAAATGAGCGCCGAAATTTCGTTGTAGTATCCCTTTAAAGGGATACTACAACGAAATTTCGGCGCTCATTTTTTGGTCTGTATGTGTTCAAAGGAGCAGTATCACATCGAACACACCAATATCTTGTTAAAAAAGTCTTGAAAAGGAATTTTAAAACGAATTAAACGATTAGCAAAGAGCACCTGGTGGGTGTCGCTAACGCCTCGTTTGTAATGCTCGTCTAGGAACCTTGACAGCTAGTGACGGACGTTGTCTCGCCTCCGGCCACGACGAAAGGAGAGGGGAAGGAGGAACTCCCCTCTTCCCGAGAATGCCTTTTGTGTGTCGCAGAAGTCGCTATTGTCCCCCTACAAGATTATAGAAGATTAACTTGTCACTCAAAATTCGTACAAAAGCAGCCGCTTCGGTGGCTGGAACGACTAGGCCATCCTCTCGACGTCAGCCTCGCCGTAGCTTTGCTCGTCTTGAGACGACCTACGTCACGATTGCGTTGGATGTCACGTGGTCTCCGCTGGGCCTTCTCCCAGCGCTTGCCAGAGTGGGCCGTTTATAACGAACAATACAGCCACCAGGCTCAAAATACAAACGCGCGATTGTCTTTTACGGATATTGTGGATCATATTCAACCTATTTTTGAACACGACGGGAATATTTCAAATTTCGTTAAAGTATCCCTTTAAAGCTTACCATTCATAAATAACTTTAAACTTGTCTTCATAATTCTGATAAACCCAGGGAGCGCGAGTGTATCGTGCGTGAAACGCTCTCGAAGACTCAAATTTTACAACAATTAAAGCATAACAAATTATAAAACCAGGAAGTGCATAATGTGTCGTGCACACAGCAACACATTCTGTGCTACCCGGGTTTATCAAAATGACCGAGACAAGTTGAACTTATTTATGTGAAGGCGGTAGGCGTGTATGCAGAAACCACCCTAGTGCGCCTTAAATAACAGTACACTGTAACTGCTTGATCATATCTAAAGAGCAAGAGCAAATACTGCAGAAGACACCTCCTAAAGCCACACATTCATGCTTGGTGCCTGTGTACTGTAGGTAACATAGCCGTACTGTCCGAGAGCAGAGCAGGTGCAACTATTTCATTATGAACACTGAATCACTAGAAGTCGTAGGAGTTCACACACACCTCCAAGCTACTGGTCTATAGTCCGTTGCAACCTAAGAACGAAGGGCGAGGGTAAGACGGGCCGGGGAGGAGAAAGCAGACGGAAAGCTAAAGAGAGAAGGAAGTTTCCCCCTCTCTTCTCCAGCGTTCCGTCTGCTTCCTCCTCCCCGGCCCGTCTTACCCTCGCCCTTCGTTCTTAGGTTGCAACGGACTATAGTGAATGGGTGGACACGAAGACAGAACATCCTGCCAGATCACTGTATTACTTTATTACATAAAATGTGGCATAGATTCAAACTCCCTTTAGAACAGCTCAATACATATAGAAAATGTATCACCTAAACATCTTCACGACATTAAGAAGTCACAACGCAGTCCTGGTAAATGATGCATCTGCACATCAAAACGAAAGAAGATTGCTCATGCAGGGACTATGCTCGCAACGCGAAGACAAATTCTCCGGTGCTTTTTACGCAGTCCACTCCGCAGTTCTTGCACATGATCCCCGTAGTCATAAAATGCGGCAAACGATTTGGCAGGGCGGAAAGAAAACAGCGAAGAATTAAAGCACTGGCGTGGTAATGCCCAGAGAAAGCACAGCACATCGCTGGCCTTCCTCAAAGTCCTGGTTGCACTCAAGGTGTCACGTGAGCTTTGAGTAGCTGGGTGGCGCGACTTTCCGGTGGAGGTACTTGAGGATGTAGAGTGGGAGGCAGCTCACTAAAGTAATGACTGTCACCTTCCACAGGAACGCTGGTGTCTGAATGAATTGTGTGTCTGCAAGAGGAAAACAAATGCCCAAATGAACCATTTCAGCTCTATGTTGTGTGACAACCTTGTCACATGTATGGAAACCACACCAAAGAATCATTCCACTTAAAAAAAAAAAATTATCTACAGCACCAACGCGGTACGATTACTGGCATAAAACTAGAGAACAGCCAGTGGTTGAGATAGATCAAAGCAAGTGAGAATCGTTTATTACCTTACCTATAAGGAGCGTTTAACACCTAAAGGGGGCGCGCTGATCCAACTGATGTTCCTGCCAAATGACTCTGCCAAAAGTCGCACCGCAGCGCTAGTGTCTTGTCGCAGGCTTTCCATTATCACTTAGCAGCCAATCAGATTGTGGCGTTACTCATTATGAACACCGAAGAATGTGTGTTTACATAAATGAAACTATAACCTATAAATACATATATAAATGAAAACAGAAATATAAAACAAGCAGAAAAACCTTTACACAAAATTTTCTACAAAGAAGAAATACTGCAAACTAATGAGCCAAAATCAGAGGTACAGTGCACGTTTCTTCAATAACCATCTGTGCACCAAGCACTGTGGAAACTTTTTCAATCCAAGATAAAAAAAAAAAAAAAGAGCCGACGCTTTTATGGGCATGTTGATGCAGTTCATGCCTCAGCCGCAGTCTCCTAATATTTAAATGTGGTATATTTTGGAACTGCTTTCATTTAATCTCTTCAATATTCGAAGCACTCTCACTACTTCTGCGATAAACAGAAGAAACCTATGAAAGAAGCAGCAAATCTGCATACAAAAAGGCAGAATCAAACAATGCAGTTAATGACACCAAATCTTAAAACTTACCAAAGAACTCATTCAGAACAAAAAGCGAGGCCACATATATGCTGAGACTCAGCATTTCAGCAGCAAACATCAGCCAGTGCCAAGTCCGAATAGTCAGGGCAACCATCAGCAATTCCGTCAAAATCAGCGACGTGAAACTGATGGACACAATATGGATGAACTCATCTTCGAACAGCAACAATGCACCATACATAATAATGCCACCTGTAAAGAGCAGAAGAAAACCCTAAATGATTACCAACAAGTATAGGACCGAAGCTTAGTCAATTAAAGACTGTAATTAAACCTCTTCTTCCCCAAGAGTTTGATCTCCATCCTTCCAAAGATGCAGGATCATGTCCCCACCTCTTAGACCCTTCTTTTCTTCCTTTACCACCCTTGCAGTTTGAGAATAAAAACTAAAGGGACATTCTGATTTGCAGAAGACTGAACTTCAATATCAGCCTTTAACATTTATTGAACCCCACCACACAGATACCAGAAACTTTCTTTGCCTCCAGAATCTACAAGATAGACAAGGTCATAAACTACTAAGTAGTGAATGAGTTTGCATCTTTTATAACCCAGGGAAACAAGTTAAGCAAAATTGCCACTAAAGCAATATGCTTCAATAGAGGCCCTAAAAGTTGGGGTCACTTCCCTGCTGATGCGAAGTTGGAGGAAGTAAAAAAACAGAGTGAAGAATCCAGGTCATTTTTTATGGGAACTTTTTACTTTCAAAACAAGCCCCAAGTGTACAAATGCATAGTTCTCAATTTTTCCCAATTTTTCTAAGTATTGATAATGTTTTGCAATATTTGACACAGGTGGTTGGCCTGACTACCTGTGATCTGTTGATGTCGCTTCGTTAAAAAGACGATGAAGACAATTTTAACTAATTTCTTTAAATTGTGTTTTTAGGCTTTTTGGGAACCGAGTACACTGCCCAATTTTTCATAGACGTCTGTGACGCATAATTCTGTGCCTATGGAAGAAATTGAGAAATTGAAACTGAACTATCTCCATTCTCATTTCTAGGCGCCCGAAAACAGAGGTGACATAGGGAGTGACGTCAAGTGTGAATAGTTGGTATCGGTAGCATTTAGAAAATCGAGGCCCTGGTTACCGTGGTGGGTTATAGGAGCGCGGTGGCGCTTTTTGTTCCCAAAGTAAACACGACACTGACATCTGAAACCCAAACCAAATGTCTCCCGCGTGTGCCGCGCTGTTCTTTCTTTCTTTATTTTCTTTGCCCATAGTTGCTCGTTGCCCGTTTTGCGTCCAGCGTAGCAAAGAGGAAAATAATTATGCTGTTTTGTTTACAGTCACAATAATCATTTCCAGTCAGATTCATACTTTTCACGGTTATTCAAGTGGAAATTGGAACAGTGTTCATAAAAATCACAAACCAAGACGTGACCGAGGGCACGTCTCTCGTTTTGACCAATCGCTGACGCGTCTCTTGCGATGTCGTGCTTCTAGGCCCCGCAACGTCACACAAACTCCGCTTCTCCTGGCTTCTCCCGCAACTCTCGGGGCGTCACTACAATCAATCCCAGTAGGATTATTACCGAGACTGTTTAATTGATTTGCACCGCACACAAGCACCAGTTTCGGCTGTAAGTTGGGCAACGTTGCCTGGGACGTGCCTGGAACCCAGTTCAATTGCCAAGAAAATATCCTAAATTGCCTTCATTGTCCCTTTAAGGGGAGGCCCTCCCTTGGAGGGTCTACTTTTAAAGTATTTGTGCCAGGTCAATGAAATTTTTAGGGTATGTTAAACGTCAAAACTTAGGAGGCTACACCAACTTTCAACCCAAAAGGTTTATTTTTTGACAAGTTACAGCCTTATTCGTTGAAAAAAAATCTACATGTAGCAGTGCCAAAGGAAAAACACTCGTTTCAAAATATGAATAAAAAGCCACAATTTCTTCGTTGGGATATAACACTGAATGACTAAACTATTCGGTAGTAGGCTTGAAATAATTTTTAAGGCCATATTTCATGTAAAAATTAACTTTCAATAATGGTATGAATTTTTAATCTTTTTCTTGTTTCACAAACGTCAACATTTTTGTGTGAAAAAATAATGATTTGCAAAAAATAAGCACATAGCCGAGCTCTCCAGTAAATTTCATGCCAAAAAAGCCATACATTAGACTTGGGGGTGCTTAACTCATCGAACAATAGTTTTAGAACTGTGAAAAAATGGTGAAAACATGAAGCTGAGAAAAACTGGTTTGAAAGTTCGAACAGTGTTTTAGTTTAGATGGGGCTTGCCATTTCATCTAAAATGCTCCAGGGGCATATGTCACTCCTTCCTCTGCACGGCCCCTCTGTGCCTTGGCCACAGCTTCCATCTTCCTTTTTTTTGTGGGACATCTTGGAGGACTCGAGCGCTTTCACTTGGGCCTTCGCAACCTTCATCTTGGTGGCCCTCTCTCCCTATGACGGTTGGCAGCTCCCTGGCTGTATGCTGATTTCCAGCAGAGTTTCCTGATTCACTAGGACGAGCCACGTCACGTGGCTCGTCCTAGCGAATCAGAGCTCTTGTTTCGCCAGCTTGACCAGCAAGAGCGTGCACAGCTATGTTTTCTACGGGGTTTAACGGTCTGTGAGCACGATATCGCGAACAATGCTGCAAACAGAACGAAAGAGGGCGAGACGCTCATTCCAACGAGGGGGGCCTGTCCATGCTAGTCCTAAGAAGCGCGGAGGGAGCGTGCTTTGAAAATGGCACATTTTCGTAATCGGCCGCGTCGTCGGCGCGCACGTGCGGCCGCCAGCACTTTGAAAATAATTTATTTCGGAGTAAATACTTTACTTACAGGAATAAAATTTTTGGACAGCATTCTTTATGAGTTGTAAAAGCTGGTCAGCCTATTTTCCAAAAATGTGACTTTTTTAAAAAATTGTGATTTTGAAAATCTCTAACCCTTAAAAAAAATTGTGATTTTGAAAATCTCTAACCCTTAAAAGAGTTAGAGATCACATAAAAGTTGCTTAGAGATCACATAAAAGAGTTAGAGATCACATAAAAGTGCTTAAAAAAAATTGCGATTTTGAAAATCTCTAACCCTTAAAAGTGTTAGAGATCACATAAAAGTGTGAAAACTTACCCTGATAAATGCTTATTAACACCCAGATAAAGAATGTCTTGAAGGACAAAGAGCGACCCTGCAAATGAAACATAATAATAACTCAATCAATTTCGCCACAGAATGAAGTGGGTGCTGAGGTACTCATGATACTTGTTGCACATAAAAAGTATTGAAATAGCAGAAACTTACCTTTGACAGTTCTTTGTAGAGCTCTGGGTAGGTCAGTGCAATCTTAGGTGACACATCTTTATCCAACACAAGTGAGAACACAGGGAACATTGTGTACACAGTAGCATACCTGGAGTAAAAGTAAAAGTAGTTCGCTTTTAGCTGGCTCAAGACTAAGAGAGGAAATATACAGGGTGTTCCACGTAACTTTAGCCAAGGTTTAAGAGTATTTTGGTGCATTTTAGGAAAACAAAACTAAAGGATTAACTTTGTTAATTGTTTGGAGCAAGTCAGGCTATTTTTCATACTTTGCCCAATTAACTAATTAAGATCAATTAATCAATTTTCTTAATTATCAATTTAGAGCAAAAGTTTCAATGACAAAAGTTGTAGAGCATCCCCAGAAACATCCAATTCAGTGTTTTTTATCAAGAAACCTCCAACACAGTTCGTTTTTCAGGGCTTCAAAAAAAAGCTAGCAAATTATTAAAAAAAAAAAGCAAAAAACGTTATTTCAACAGCGCCCTGTTAGCAGTGTTCTATTCAGCATGCGGGCATAGTTTATTCAAGCCACAGCTGAGTGTGCTGCAATACAAGGCTCTCAAGTGCAAAGTCACATTTTTTTCTTTTGTAATTCACTGGCTTTTTTTTTTTTAAGCTCAGAAAAACTAACAGTGTTAGAGATTTCTTGATAAAAGCCACTGAATTGGATGTTTCTCAGGATGCTCTACAACTTAGTCATTGGAACTTTTGCTCTAAATGAAATATTTCAAAAGTTCATTAGTTAATCTTAATTAGTTCATTGGGAAAAATACAAAAAATAGCCTGACTTGCTCCAAACAATGAATAAACTTATTCCTTTGGTTTCGTGTTCCTAAAATGTACCAAAATATTTTTAGAACTTGGCTAAAGTTACTTGGAACACCTTGTATAAATAAATATATCAAGGAAAATGCTTACCCGACCATCAACAAGCCTTGATAAAGTGCAACTGAGGCAAAATAGAAGACTGAGGAGAACACTGCCTGCATGGTCGAGATTATAAGACCTCTGTGGATCACGAACTGGCTGAGGGCAGCTGACCGTTTGTAACTGTAAGAGAAAGAAATTACATCCTGAAATGCAGCAATATAATGTACCATTTATTCAAGATGAGAAATAAGACTACTGAGGTGTTCACCCATCTGAAAACAAATAATCCCAAACAATGAAATTACTATTGTAACAAAAGCAATAAAATTTGGCTCCATACAGAAGAGCAGATCACTAGTAAACTTACAGCTGGCTCTTCTTGTTGCACGTCACCGTAGGAATAATAATGGCACTAACCAAGAGAGTTTTGAGCCGAGTTGCCCCTTGTATGCAATAGTTGCGGCTAACACAGTTTTAGAAAGTCATCTGACAGCGACAGGGGACTTCAAAATACCTGTAACGTCCATGAACCAGCAGCAGCCGTGCAATGTGGTGAAACTGGGTGACCGAGAAGTCTGCAGCCAGAGAAGCTTGGTTTCCTTCCCGACCCACAATGCCTATACCGGCATCAGCTTCCTGAATCATGCTCACGTCATTGCCGCCGTCCCCTGAAAAAGTCACATGTGCTTCCTCACATCCATTTACAGACACACTACGACAGTTTCAAAATACTCCTCTAACAAGGAACAACTACATTGCAGAGCCTGGAGATATGGCACAGTTGACTTCCTTTTGTAATAAAATAACTTCATTATCAACCTGCTAATGCATCCAATTTTACAGAAGTATGAACAATGCCAATCATATTAAACAAAACCTGAGATGGAAAGGAGGTAGGACACAGCACACACAGACTAGCCTCCACCATATCATTCACACCCCCCACATTTTTTCATTACAGTGCTGAAAGTTTCAAATACTGCAAAATCCTGTGGATAGTACAAGATCTTAACGACCAAGCCTGCACATCTACTTTACCACAGAGCGTGAAAACGGTGAACCACTGCTGTTTACGGCCAGAAAATGGCAAGACACCAAGAACAATGAAGTCTCAGTACAAACCGTATTTGCAAGACGGTGCATCATCAGTACCCCATCATTCACTCGCCTTCCATAAATGGCAGTGAAAGACAACCGCATACCCTGTGGAAAAGTGGATGCGTGGGAAAGCTCATACTATCTGCGATTGTGATGAGGATCATACGAAAGACAACGAGGCAGTTTTGAGCGAGCGCACATGCAGGCTCTTGAGATCAGACAGAAGGCAGCTCGATGAAAGGAACATCTCAACACCGGTAGTTCCGGCAGCCAAGTAATGCCCCAGAGAAACGTCCAAAGGCCCGTGGGGGCACCAGGCAAGCTTGCTGCGGACCCACCACCTACACCGAGCCCTTTCTCCGAGTACTACAAGCCTGCCATCCCTTGCCTCTGCGGTGTCATCACCACGTGTTCGAGAAGTTGTGAGCGAGACCTTCCGGAACAAACGATTTCTGCAGTTTTCTTCACGCGTGGAACCAAGAATCGCACGACAAAAAGAACTAACAAACAAACAAAAGAAAAGAATGTGCCACCCTGTTTCAAAGGGCCCTCCCCTCACTCTCTCCCAGGAGGACCTTCTCCCGTTCCCCCGCTCAAATGCGGATCACTTCTGACGGTCGAGGAGGTTTCGCCTCGTCTTTTTCTGCTTTCAGGAAGGAGACTCGTCCAATGGCCCGAAAGAGAGAGCACGCGTATCGGCGACTTCTCCGATGCTTCTTCGATCTGAACTCTCTGGAACCCTGCGTCTGGTTTGTAAGGACCTTTTCTTACCTTGCCGAAGTGGGGATTGGATGGGGACATAGTAGTTCTTTTAAGAGAGTGTTTTAATAAATACTCTTAGACTCTGTCCTTACCCTGGTATGTGTGCCTTCTCTTCCGCTATATTCAAGAGAGTGACACGAGGTAGTCAATCATTGGCACCGACGGAGGTAATTTATCGAACCGACCCGAGCTAATGTAGCCCTAAACATTGCCTATATTGCCACGGAGATGTGGGACTGTGCTACTAGGTTTGACGTCTCCTTTGGCATCGCCACCGCTCTTGAGATAACCCTTTGGTAACTCTATCAGCCTCTATCAGTACCTCTGTTGGTAGCTAGCAAACCCCACAACGGGGACCAACCGACAAGGATATTGGCAAATGCCTCTCCGCAAGCTCAGGACTTCGTTGCTCAACCACATTTCAGTCGCCCGAAGCGCCAAGTGGAAATTACGAGCTTTTTCTGAACATATTCGAGTTCACACCGACGAATGTTTACAAACTTTTTGTAGACGTATTAGAGATCATGCCTCAAACTTTTACAGTACATTTATTTCAGTTTACACCTATGAATATTTACAACCTTTTTCTGAGCCAATTTGAGTTCACACCCACGAATGTTTGCGTAAAATAAATTGTTTCGTGACAATTGCTATCTGTCTCACCTCTAGCATTCTCGTTTCTTACATTTTCCTCGATTGTAATTTTATTTCCCAGGTCCCCCGAAAAACATATCAATGAGGTTGTACTGTAATCTTGCCAAAACAAATCTGCTCTCAAACCAGACTGTGACAGGAAGCTATTTCAGTGATGTGATTGGCCTAAGCCATTTTGGAGCACCTTTCGAAGCAGCCAAAACAGTGTTTTGGAGCAGCAAATGTGGCCTTTGGAGCAACCAAAACAGTGTTTTGAAGCAGCAAAAGTGGCTTTTGGAGCAGCCAAGACAGTGTTTCAAAGCAGCAAAAGTGGCTTTTCGAGCAGATATTCTTAGAAAAATAAATTATTTGTTTTAAGTGCTGGACAAACGAAGGGCACTTTGTGTTGTGTTGCGATGCGATGTGACGTGTTGTGACGGAACTCACTGCTTGTGTTTTTGCTGCTGAGACATCCTACAAGTATACAGTGCTGTAGGGGTTGCCGAGCAATTCCAAAAAACCGCTTGCCACCACTTCACTGGTTCCCCGACGTGTCAGATTTTCGTCATAAGTGAGCAAACGTAAAAAAAGTGAAAGCCGTTTACAACTCCCTGTAACACCGAATTAGAGCGCAGCTCTTGAGGAGGAGGAGGGAAGGGTACTAGGGGGGGGGTGAAGTGACCTGGGGGGGTCACGTGACGATGCCGATGATGTCATCAGTGACGTCACTGATGACGTCATCAGTGACGATGACGATGCGGACTCCGATGACGTCATCAGCGATGATGACGACGATGCGGATGTCGGTGACGTCATCAGTGACGTCACTGATGACGTCATCCGTGATGATGACGATGAGGATGCCGGTGACGTCATCAGTGACGATGACGTCATCGGGGAGGTCACGTGACCTCGGCGGGGGGGTTACGTGACCCTGGGGCGTGGTCACGTGACCTCGGGGGGGGGGGGGGTCTTACGTGACTTTGGGGGGGTCACGTGACCCTGGGGGAGGGGTCACGTGACCTTGGTTACGCCGACGCCGCTCAAGCCGGGAACGGGCCCCTAAGAGCTGCACTCTAAAATGGATTGCAAGCGTCCCGGCTGGTGCCTCTGTCGTGCACTCATGTTCGCATCCACGTGAGGGCAACTTCGGCAGGCTTGCAGTTGCGCCTGCTTCGTCGCGCAAGCGGAGGCAACGGCTGTTTGAACGAAACCATGCCACTCCGCTCCGTCGCCAATTGATTCCCAAAATTGTATGCAAAATGTAACTGTCGAGCATACGACACAAAATAGTCCAGCAGCGCGTGCTTGCCAGGCCGGCAAATAAAGCACGAGCTGCACACACACACAAAAAAAAAAAAGAACCTGAGCGCATCGATGCAAGACATCGCGAGCCAGGGTCGAAAAGTTCTTGGATCGCTTTGTGCAACGACTGAACTCGAGACAAACAAGAGCGCTGTGTGGGTTCAGCGTGCAGACATTGTCTTCTTTGCTTTAGCTCACTTCTCTTCACCGAGAGAAACCTACGTAATCAGTACTTCGACGCAGCAGTCTTTGAGTTACAGAGGGATTTTTGTACTAAAGTATGATTTAAACAAGAACAGGAAAGTTGATGAACATGCGGCAGTACTTAGTTTCATTTTAGAAAGCGCCATGAGACGTGAGGACGGCAATACCAGACGTCGTGAGACCACGGTGACTGGAAGGCAGGGACCAAATATAATTTTCCCAAGGCCATTGCTTTCAGGAGCAAGTTCTTCAGCTCACAAAATAACTGCCGCCGCGCAAAAATGTGGTTTCGTTTCACAGCTTGACGGCATGGCTGGTACCCAGCATGCTAGCGTTGGAGCGTTCACACACACCCGCGTCTATTGTTGAAAAAAAAAAAGTGAGACAAGAGCCATGAGACGAGAGCGCCAAACGCGAGACGGCGGGAAAACCATGCAAGACCGGATGGGCGATTGATGCAGGGTACTTTGTGTCGGGCGGTCGCTTGTGCCATAACACACCCGCATGCTCAATTACGGTACTCAATTTAGTTAAGGTTTTAAAAGGCTACCGAAATTGGTCCTTTGGCACAGGCTTGGCACAGATTACCCATATTTTGGCAAAATGTAGCAGAATGTACCAGGGTTAGCCACTTGGCGCAGTTTGCCGCAATTGGTGCAGCAATCACATCACTGCTATTTGTACATCAAGAAATTAATAATTTTAAGCTCAAACATACCAACAGCACAAGTGGTCTTGTCTGTGTACTGCTTAATCAGGCGCACCACCTCAGCCTTCTGAGTAGGCGAACATCGGCAACAAACCACAGCAGGGCACTGGCATGCCAGCTCCATGAATTCACGAGGGTAGAACTTGAGACACACCTAAAATACAAATATACAAATATGAACTACCATAACATTATTACATATGTCTATGCTCCACTAACACCATTCTTTGACTAAGCAAAGACCGTAGGAAGGTTCTCGTGGTTTGGAAAGACAGTATTTCTCCTACGTGAGCGCTCAGGCAGCTTGTGCTATATGTGCGCATGTAAAGCAAAAATGAACGCAATAATTATGTAGTGGCTATAATACCACATAACTCAATCTAATTAATTTCTAGGAAGCACAGCAAGCCCGGGTGCAATACTAGTTGCATTTTAAATGCTTGCACAAAATAAAAATAAATAACAATAAATAAAAAAGTGAAAGGAAACAATTCAGACCTGTCTTGTTAACATGGGCCTCATTAATATAAACACCCCACTAATAGACAACATTTTCGGAGATCGACCATTCCTCATACAATTCTGCCTCGATAATATAGAAACCCGCAGTCCGGACGAAGGACAAGCTAGTCTGGGAACGAACTGGGTTATTACACACATTTTTGTCACATTATAGACAAAAGCTTCTCAAGATGTCCACAACTATCTTCTATACCCCCCCACCCCCCCCCCACCCCCCCCCCAATCCACCTTCACTTCCCATGTCCCACCTCACCTCAGCTTCCCCCCCCCCCCAAAAAAAAAACATAAAGAAAAGAAAAAGAAAAAAAAAAATTAGGGAATTTTTGGGTCCCAGAGTACACCTAGAACTTCACTTTTGTCTGCTGTTGGTTAACCTTCCTGAGAAAGAGCTAAGACCTGGACCTCGAACAATGGTTAAATTTTTCGGGGATTCTTGGCCAAATCAGCCACTCCCCTTTTTCTCTCTATGTGTATCACGGCTGTGCATGGCAAACCTCAAGAACGTTCATTAGTCCTGTGTACCTTTTGAGCATTAAAATTAAAGAGGGGACAATTCACTTGCCACTTAAAGGAAGTGAAACTATGCCAGGCATGAAGCGGAAGTGGCCCCGAGAGCCTGACAAGCTCAAAACTTAAGACACTGTTTTTTTGGAGTAGGAGGGACATGGAGATGTGCCTTTGAGCTGGCAGAGAGTTATGCTCTTTGGATAATGAAGTATACACCAAACCACCTGTGCATATAAAAGCGCCAGCAATTTTCCCAAACAAACAGTGTTTTTCATGGCCACATTTATTATTTGTGATCCTGACTTTGCTTTATTATTATATACAGTTCACATTATGGATGATTTTTGGGGGGAACGGACGTGTTCATATTGAGAAGACATCACTGTACTAATTATCAGTCAATGCTGACAATAGAAGGACATTCCGTGCCACACAGTGGACAGGTGGACACCGTCATTCACTTGAGATGAAGAAGCTACCATGTCACATTCGCTATGCATGCCAATATCACTACAAACCAAATACAAGGACTTTGCTTTTGATTAAAACCCAAAGGTAGGCAGCCCTTGCACACATGCAAGCATAAGGGTGCAAACAGTAGAAGGCAAATACTTAGCAGCACACAACTGTGTTTGTATTTGCACTCCATGTAGCAGATCATTTTTGTAGTATCTCAGCAATTGTAGTACTACCTGATGATGATGATTAAGTGCTTAATGGTGCAAAATGTAACACAGGCCATACCGTGGCAAAAAACAATTAAATTAGAAAGATCTATAAAAAAGCAGGAAATTACAGTGCAGAATCTGCAGAACTACTTTAGATTTTGCCAATCTAAAACATGGCCAACAGTGACCAAAGTTTGATCTCCCAGCGTAAAGGCTGAATGAAATGGAAGATGGTACGTGAAATGTTGATAAAAACATGCTAGAAAGTTTGCTGAAGAAAACATGTCAACTGATTGTGAAATAGAAAAGTTTAGAAGCAATGTGTTGACTGTCCAGCCAAGGATGCAATCCGTACTTGGAGCAAAACGTCTAGTATTAAACTTAACCTTTCTGTTCTGTCAAGTCACTGCATTAAATATTTGTTTTACAATACAAGCTCTGCACTGTTAAATCAGTGATTGGAGCGAAAAACCGCTGTAAAAGGCTACATACGGTAAAGAGGCCTAAGCACGACTTCAAGCAATAAGAAATAAAAATGGCACAGCCTTACCTCAAGGGCATCACCCCGAATTATCAGGGCATAGTCATTTCTGCGACGAAATTTGTTCAGTTCGCAACGTGCCTCCGTGCGGTTTGAAACCGATTCAAACACGTGTAGCTCCTGGGATCTCGAGACCAAGCGAGAGGATTTTGCGATGCTGGTGGCAGTTTCCAGTTTATCTCCTGTTAGCATCCACACCTGGCAAGAAAATGTTTCTGTACTGAGACTGTCAAACTCCATCCTGGCAAAGTTTCCTTATGCTTGTGATATAAACTAAGGCACATGAAAACAGGCAAAGCCATTTTTGCCGGCAATGCCACAATACTATGATGGTACGGAGCCAAAATTAAAAATTTTGTGTCTGGAGCAACTGAAGATTATTTAGCAAACTCTGAAATGCCCCTGAAGGGCAGCGTAAATGCTGCCACGAGAATGAGGCACACAAGTATGGTGAATGGCAGCTGATGTCATGTCAACAGACCAGCTATTGCAGAAATGCACCAAACATGGCTGACGGTTTGATTAACCCACCTTGATGCCAGCATTCCTAAGGAGCTCCAGTGTGGGCCGGACTTGATCTTGAAGCTTGTCCTCTACACCTGTGAGGCAGAGCAGCTCGAGATCCCGCTCCAAGGTCTCAATAACAGCCGACATCCGTGCGCTCCTGTCTTGCATCGACACTTTGGCTTGGCTGTAACGAGCCTGCATGCAAACACAGGAGTCTCATTCTTGAGGATAGAATTTCAAAACCAGGAGAAATAGTGGTCAGAACAATCTAGCAGAAAAGAAAAAGCTCAGCTGAGAAGAGAATATACTAGAGCCTCGGTAACACATTTTTCAGTGGATCACGGAAAACAAACATACGATCAGAGACAATGCAACAACTGATAACACCCTGGTCAAGCTAACAGACAAAATAAAGCAATTCTCGCTTGAGAGCTTTTTCTTTTTTCCGCATGTACGTCCGTAGGCATGGGGCACCCATATGCAAAAAAAAATGTTGCTGCTTGGTGCTTGTGTTACAAATTTTTTTTTATAATAGAAGCCTCTTCCAAGCAGCCTTAAACCTCTTTCCCTGTTTGGGCAGCTGCATTATTATGCGCGCCAATCTTCGAGTGAGCCCAAAGCTGCATACTATCTGTTTCCATCCAGGTTCCAATATGCACTCGGCAGTTCGGCAAACATGCTCTTGAGAGAGATACAAATTCAGTTGCCAAGACACCAAAATCCGAACAAAACCAGCAGACTTGCTCAAAAACAAAAACATTTCATGGACTTCATGCAGGCAAAAGAAATGGAAAGATGAAAGAGCTGCGCAGAGCTGCAGTGAAGGTCGCCAGTTACACACATTGCTGAGAGTAGAGTGCCACCACTGGGTGCCACTACTGAAGAGTCCTTTGCCATTAGCTTCCCTCAGGTGGTGCAGGGTGGCGCAAGCCACTACCACCACCCAATTTAAGAGTCGGAGCCAAATTCATCAATTCAGCCAAAAGGGACATGTTATAGAGAACTCAACGATCGTTAAAATTCATCAACAATTGGGGAAGGCCTGAAAATTACAATGCAACAAATGAGAGGTGAATGCATTAACTCTACAGAAGTATAAATGGGGCTGTCATTTAAACCGGTGAACGTAACAACCAGGAAAACCGTGTCAACCGGGAATATATCAATGATGTTCTAACTATAGTTCAAAGAGCTTAAAAATGAAGCTGCTTAGCATAGAGACTGGTCTCTTTGACAAAGGGGTAACTCTGCCCTTACCAAAATGTTTTCTCAATGCTCGATTTAGACAGATTAGCTTGTCTTCCTGTGGGAAATTTTGTAATGTTGGTTTTAGCATCCTCATTATCGCTTCAATAAAAACAAAAGAAACATGATGGTTTCTAAAATAATGGGATTTCATTACAATAATTGCTGCTCTTTCCATGGCACTGAAATGGCTCAGCACACAGGTTGGCAACCTACAGCATGCGGGTCAGATCGGGCCAGTGGGGATGTTGAACAGGCTGATAAGACGTGTCTGTCTGTTCGTTTACTTAATAGATCTTTCTGGAAGATCCCACACAGCCTCTCAAGAAAACCGCATTGCACCGTACGGCAGGGGGATTCTGGGGATGTTCTGATGAACGCTTGGGCCGACTCATACGTTCCATATATCCAGGAAGCGGTGCAATTCCTTCTCCCTTGGCACTGAGAGTTCAAAACACACACACACAACAAAAACGGAACAAACCATAGCAAAGCCGATACTAAGCCTGTTTTGTTATCGTCCCGTCTTCTATGTGTCCAAAAGTTTTAAAATGCTAGCTTTACGTGCCATATGTCGGACTGTCGTACGTAGTGTGTTAAGCAGACAGTGGGGGTGCTGCATACGTTTGGAAAGATCTATTCTGTCCACTGCAGTTTTCACATATAAAGTTTTTATTACTTTATTTCACTTTTTTTTTTTTTTTTTTTTTTTTTTTTTTAATGGTATGTGGTATTAACATCTTCTGTAGCAATTCCATGCCGGATAGGTGTGCCTTTAGATGAAGGGTTGCCGAGCTCAACCGAGGAAAAATGTGCCATACCTCGAATTCAAGGTATTGCTCCTCAGTAAGATTCTTCTTGGCCACGACTAAAGTGCGCAATCCCTCCCGTGCCATGTTGCCACACTAAGAGAAAACACAATGAAAATGCTTGATTATGATCACAAACTCCTATTTATTCTGCTTTTCTAACAAAGAAACTACTACTGACTAAAGGAACAGAGCATGAGGTGGACACCAGAAATATGTGTAATATGTAATAAATCAGAAAGGGAAAGAGAGAGAGGACGGTACATGACATACTCAATTGTCTTATATTTTGCAGTGACTTATTAATCTTTAGAAAGTCCAGAAATATAAAACTATTACAAAAAATTGAGCATGCAAATATATCATCCACATATGATTATATGTATTCACCAGGAGTAAACTGACCCAATGACCAGTTTACTTCTAATTGGAAAAATTTTGTTACCACCATTGTTTAAAGTGTACATGTTTTCAAAAGGCTGACAAAAAAGCTGTACTGCACCTATGAAAAGCAAGCCCAAGAGCTGTCTATATTGCTAGCATGTGACTACAAAGGCCTGACAACCTTTTGGATTCACCGTATTTACTTGAGTAAAAGCCGCACTCTTTATGAAGAAAACCTGTGGGGTCGCTTTTCCGCGGAGCACGCAGATTGCCAATCACCGCAATCGACAGCATGACTCCAGCGGTTTACAGGACAGAGATAACGTGTTTGCGCGAAGATAACCTCTATGAGGATTGCATTTGTATAAAGAATCGTGTTCTCGATTTAATTATTCGCTATGTTATTTATGTGCAACGCGATGATTGGCTGTATATGTGCTTTGCAGGAAAGTAGAAGCAAGGACCTTGTTCATAAAGAGTGCGGCTATTACTCGAGTAAATACGGCAATATAAATCAATAAAAAACCTGCAACTACAGGGTGTCTCAAACAGCGGCCAGTCTTTTTAAATCGACCTCAAAAATCGGTTTCTCAGCCTATCGCGCTACAATTTTGTGCAACGTTGCCCACAGGTGGTGCATTTTTTTCTATATAATTTGCAAAGAGCAAACTTACTTGAGAAAAAAGTAAAAAGAAAAAAAGGCTTAACTCCTATAGAAATGCAGGAAAGTCACCGGTCTTCAAACAATAGGGCACTGTTTGGCATGGGAGACAAGAGATGGCGCAAGCGGTCACGACGCCATCTCTTGTCATCTCAACGACCGACCATCATCTCAACGACCGAGCATACGGCGCCGGGAGTCGGCGTCATTAGTAGACAATCTTTTCGACTCAAAAGCGGCGCGCATTCCGCAGGTGGCGACAGTCGCAGAACCAAAAACATGCGCGGTAACAACAACGAACTGCAAAGCAGACGACAATAACCCGACGAACCATTTTTTTAATCGATTAGTATGTGCCTATTCAATGTGTTTTATTAGTAAGGATGAGAAAATCATGCCTCGGCAACTGATATTGAAAAAGCTCGCACCACTTTTGAGTTGAAAATATTGTCTGATATTTGATGCCGGCTCGCGTGCCATGGTTTGTCGGGTTATTTTGACTGTCTTTTTTTCGGGGTACTTATGTCGTCTGCTTTGCAGTTCCTTGTTATTACCACGCCTGTTTTTGGTTCTGCGATTGTCGCCGCCTGCGGAACATGCGCCGCTTTTGAGTCGAAAAGATTGTCTGCTAATGACGACGGCTACCGGCGCTGTATGCTCGTCCATTGGCCGCAGTTGGCGTCACGGCTGCTTGCCCCATCGCTTGTATCCCGTGTCAAACGGCGCCATATTGTTAGAAGTCCGGCGGCGTTGCTGCACTTCTATAGGAGTTAAGCCTTTTTTTTACTTTTTACTTTTACGCGCCACAAAATCGTGGCGCGATAGGTTAAGAAACCGATCTTTGCAGTCAATTTAAAGAGCCTGGCCGCTATTCGAGATGCCCTGTAGGTAGTTTTAATGAAGATACATGTCTTCAAAAAACGAGTGGTGGGCTATACCTTTCTAAACATGTAATAAAAATAAGAGAACCTAGTTTTTAAGAAAAAGTTCCTTGGCAGTTAGGGCTGCCACCTGCCCAGTTTTCGATCAGCAAGGTTAGCTTTTCGGATAGCCGGCCGGTTGCCAGTCTCTATCTAAAACCGGCTGTCATTTGCCAGTTTGTTCAACTATCCAAGAGCTTTTCTTGAGGGGGGAGGGGGTTTATAAACATATTCCCCTAGACTGTCAATGCAAAAACTAACAAAAAAAATGATTGTCAACAGATTTTTTTTTTTTTTTTTTTTTACACAAGGTACACGAAAATGTGTTGAGGACTCCCAAGTAGAGAAGGCATGTGAACGAACTTGCTTGAGAAACAACTGCATCATTCAAAATCTTTAAGCAAGTGGGAAAATGAGAGAAAAATGGGAGAAAGCAGAAAGCCGGCACCTAGGGGGTGCGGGAAACACACGGCTACTACACAGGACTGCCCTGTCCTGCCGATAGCTGTCTGTGCCTTCTGGGGGAGGGGGATGAATGGTTTCACGACTTCTAACAATTGTCGGCATCCTAATAGACACACTTGGTGCTATTGCCTGTCCATGGAGGCAGGCAGCCGCGGCGTTTCCCCTTTCTTTCCTATCTTTCCACTTGTTTTCTTTTCAGTCACATACATCCACATGATGCTAAAAAAAATTAATTTGCTTCATTGCTTTCAGACTCCACCGACATTATTTATTTTTATTTCCTAGCACTTTTTTGGGGGTCTTTGCCCAAACACGAGGATGTGCTGAAATGTGCACCGGCTGTCTCCGGGAAAGGCTGATATCTGTAGCGAAATTGTAGGCTGCGTGCGTACGTCCCTAAGTGACAGGAGCGGTGGAGAATAGAAACGGCTTGCTGAGTACTTACTCATCCTTGCTGCACAGGACGAGTAGAGGTGCGGGATTTGTTTTTGGTGCATTACTTTCGCCTAGATGGTATGCATCTATGCATGTTATTGGCTTCAGTGTTGTGCATTCATCTACTTACATGTGCTACTGTATTATTATATTAATGTTAATTTATTTCACCTTGGGAAGCTCATATAAAATAAATTTAATTTGTATATTAAAGGCTGTCAACACTGCATTTTTCTTTTAACTAGTTCAATCCCAAATATAATTCCCCCCCCCCCCCCCCCCCAGGCATGGTGTTTTTTTTAGGAAAGATGGCAACCCTAATGGCATTACTGACACATCTCTAAACACCTCTTTTAATCAGAGCCTGCATAATAAAAGTAAAGGCCACAAAATATTTATTCATAGGAAGGGCCAACTTACCTCTTCGTCCAGCCAGTCATTGTATTGTACTATGCCACTCATAACAGTGTCAGCCCCCTTCATAAAGAAGAAAATCTCACCAGTGGACTCATCCTAAACAGAAGAAAAAAAAAACGGACACAAAACATATTTCAGATGCCCAACACTTAATTTTAAAGGAAAAAAAAAAATTCGGCAGACATACTTAAAGGGCAACTCTGCTCAATTTTGAAGATTTCGGGATAATGAGCGATTTCGCAATACAAAGCCCTAGTAAAAGACACTACGTCGTTTGCTTCGCGAAAAATGGGATATATATTTTTAAATCTAATTTTAAACACGAGCGGAAATCGAAACCGAAACTTCGGCTGCACCCAGCAACAGTGGCCTCGGGCAGCCAAGAACATGGCCATCACGTGGTACACGAGATGTCACGTGATCCTTTATGCGACGACGGGAGGGACTGGGGCGGTCGTGTGCCAAGCGCAAGTGTCGTCTGCACCACACTCTTCGCCACGTTTTGGAATCTACAACATTCGACGACGTCAGCACAACTGCGACATAAGTCTGCGCACGTGGTGTCCGTAGTGTGGACGAAACTCCGAGAGACAGTAATCACAAACAATAAGACGATGACGGCAGTTGCGGCGCGGGAAACGGCGGTAAGGGCGAGACCACGGCGGGGCGGCCGGACGGCTCCCAAGAAGCGTGGTGCGCAGGCGCGTTGCGCCAATCACATGGACACCCCTCAGCGCCGAGAGGAAACGTTGCTGACGTCATCCACTACGCTCGCTCAGAGAAGCAAAAACAAGCAAAAGGAGGCAATGGTGATGACGTTTAGCTCAATGTTGGCTGCGCCCATGCCATAGCCTTGACTGCGCTGTTGGTTTCGCCTGCTCGAGCCAGCCGATTTCGGCAACTTGGCGAGGTGCAAAGTTTGCCAGACCGTTTAAAAAACATTTATACTTGTTTTCACCTCAAGAAAAAAGGATGTTTTGCGCATTGTTCGTACGCCGGGCGTAGTAGTTCTTACGAGGTTTGGTTGTCAGAGAAAGAAGTGATGCTTTTGGCATTTGAAACGTATTCGTCTTGATTAGATTACACATATCTAATCTAAAATGCACCTACATATATCTTAATTCTCCACATAAAGGAGAAAATTCGTAATGCTTTGCGTGAAGCCGGACTTTATTTACTATGATTCTTGAGGTGAAAACGGGTATAGACGGAACTGCGTCATAATATTTGACATGTGTTCTTCCTAGGCAATACTGAAGAGGACTGCATTGTTTTTTCAAAATCAAAAATGAAGCGGAGTTGTTCTTTAAAAAACCCCTAAAAGAAAGAAAAAAAAAAATTTCTAAACAGTTTAGTTGGGACACGCATGTCAAAAAATATTTTATGTGAAAAAAAGTTTTTTTAGAGCAATATTGACGGCGAGAGATTTATTTCAAATTCTGCACGCAAATTCCATGACGTCACGAAATGGTCATTCACTCTTTCGACCTCAACGAGATAGTCATTCGCTCTTTCCACCTCAACGTGAAGGCGAAGCCGATCAACCCCTCCTTCACGTGCCCGAAATGCAGAGAGAAAACAAGTGGAAAGGAGGTGACTACCGACTACATCGCGTCATCAATATTGCTCTAAAAATTTTTTTTTTTTCGTGTAAAATTATTTTTTTGACACACGTGTCCCAACCAGACTGTTAAAAAAAAATTTTTTTCTTTTCAGGAGGCCTTTAAGACTGCTTACATGTAGGAATGTGAAAGCATTTCTACATGCAGCGCATTCCTACAAGCAGCGTGCCACTTTTTCTTTTTTCACACGGTGCGCCGGTGGAGACATCACGCTCTCTCACTGCGCAGGCGCAGCGCCCCCTCCGGCTCCACGGCTTCCGTCACAATGCATCTGCGCTGCTGTGCTTTTCTTTGCGTTTTATTTCTGAGGTGTGTCCGCTTTGACCTTGAGCGCCCAGCTGGCTTCCATGACGAAGCATCTGATATGACGTATTGTAGCCAATGGGAATTCTGCTTGTGGGTGCCGTTTCACTGCTACAGACGGTTACAGACAATGTTGGCTTCGCTCCATGGGACAGTCAATGCTCTAGCATTAAAAAGGACTATGGTGCACACTAATTAGAGGTCTCATTGCTAGCAGATTGTGCCAGTCATTTTGTGACAAATGAAGCAAAGGATTGTGGTCAGTAAAGTCAAACATGAAATATTCATAAAAAATTCCTGACTGAATCTTACTAAAGTGTTCCAACTTTTCAGTTTGTCGAATGTCGAATAAAAAAAAAAGCAGAACAACATTTCTCAACACAGAATGTGCTTAAGGGCTAAGACCTGAAAGGAAAGCGTGCGTCCATAGGTTCCATAGAATTTAGTGTATTTACGTCCATAGGCGAGGGATTGCCCTCCAACTTTAGTAAACGGCGGTCACGTCACCAGGATTACACTGCCACAGGTTTACAGTGGTCACGTCGCATCACAAAACCCATAGTGGCACTAATCATGTGACTGTTGCACCCACTCTACGTACATGTTTAGAAAAGCTTCAATATAAACCCAGCCCTGCTAAAACATATGGCCTATTCTGTGTCTTCCAACTTAATCCGCATGATTAAGATTTTTTTTTTTTTTTTATAGTTGCGCTGAAGATGTTTTTGCGAAAGTTGCTACCGAGCAAAAGTATCCCAAACTTTTGCACAATAGTGCATGTAGAAGCAAAAAATATACTAAGAAAAAGGCCACCAAAATGTAATGAAGTGCCGTAAAATACCACCCGCCTTGACCACGATGCCCATTCGTTTCCGCTCAGAAGTGAAAGAAAAGGTCTGCAGGATGGTGTAGCTCAAGATCTGGCCATGGGGAGTGCGCACTTTCATTGTGCTCAAATCCCTGAAGACGAGCTCGAGACCAACGCTTTCCGTCCAAGTGACTAGGGCCACCTGAGAAAATACAGAAGCAGAGGAACACCCCCATCAATCAATTTAAATACTAGAGTCGAGTACATACCACAATTTCGGAGTTAAACAGCTCAATATTTTTGCGGAGTTGCCAGTTAGCGGCACAGCTGACAACAAAGGACACCAATGTAGGCACCGAGCGTGTGCAGTGTGTTCGTCTTTGCGTCTATTAGTTAGAACCATACCCAGGGACCAGCCATGCTATGTGTCTGTAAATAGCCTAGGCATTTACACAATGAGTGCTTCTCTTTCCCTAGAAAAATATATGCTTGCTTTGTACCACACATTTTCCGTTGTATAAGTGTGATATTTTTTTACAACTTTCTGTTGGTGCATTTTATAGAACAGTGTAAATTAAATACTTTTCATTTTTTTATAGGTATGGGCCTTAGCTGTACAACATATAGGCTGTATTGTCTGCTCTTCCAGCGGTCCGAAGACGGTCCGAAGCATGGTCGCACTTTCACCGCGTCAAGTCCAGCCAAAGTGGTGTGGCAGTTTCGCCATGCCGAACGCACAAAGAGGCGAGACTTGTACAAAGGTGCGACTTATATGCTAACTGTTTCCTGAAAACTGCCATTTATAGGGAGGGGTGCAACTTATGGGCTGGAAGACACAGTACCTAAAACTGTAACAAGCACCATATATACTGAAAACCAAGAGGAAAAACTGCTAATTCCACAAGAAATGAGTAGCAGTCATTACATAATTCAAGGCAACTTTCAACCCGACTTTGTAACCAGGTAAATAAGCACACCCATAATATGTATCTGACATCATCAATGTCTAAAAAAGAAAGAAAAAAAGAAAAAAAAAAACTTGAATTTTTAGGTTGCGTTGCAACAAGGCATCACCTGCAACGATTCTGGCCTGTAAAATGTGCCACCATGCCTGTCTGGGGAAGTCGCGCAACAGAGCACTTCGCAAAAGCGTTTCCCCAAATCAGAACGCAAAAAGACGGCACCATTTATTATACAAGCGCCAGCACCGACAAGCGAAGAACAAACAAAGTTCTATTGACACGGCATTTTAGGAAGAAGCTTCCGAATCTCTAAAAGCCACTTCCCTGAACATCGTGCTCACAAACAAAACATCTCTTCATCCAACATCCTTTAAAAAAAAAAAAAGTGAAAGCCGTTTACAAATCCCTGTAACGCCGAATTGGAGCGCAGCTCTTGAGGAGGAGGAGTGAAGGGTACTGAGGGGAGGGTAGACCCCTCCTCCTCCCCTCATTCTTTAATATGCTCCGGGGGGGGCGGTCACGTGACCTCGGGGAAGGGGGGGGGGGGGTGTCACGTGACTTCGGGGAGGGGGGTCACGTGACCTCGGGGGTCACGTGACCTCAGAGGGGTCACGTGACCTCAGAGGGGTCACGTGACCTGGGGGTCACGTGGGGGTCACCTTGGGGTCACGTGACCTTAAGATGACCTTGGGGAGGAGACCACGTGACCTCTGGGGTCACGTGACCTCAGGGGGGTCACGTGACTTGGGGGTCACGTGACCTTCAAAGGGTCACGTGGGGTCTTGGGGTCACGTGACCTTGAGATGACCTTGGGAGGGGTCACGTGACCTCGAGGGGTCACGTGACCTTGGGAGTCACGTGGGGTCACGTGACCTTGAGATGACCTTGGGAGGGGTCACGTGACCTTGGGGGTCACGTGACCTTGGGATGACCTTGGTTACGCCGACGGCGACGCCGCTCAAGCCGGGAACGGGCCCCTAAGAGCTGCGCTCTAAAACAAAAGTGCAACAAATAAACGGCCTACGTTCCCACCTCGTCTGGGCTGGAAGCCTGATACACGGGCCGTCCCTGGGGCTGTCCTGCTGCTAGGGCATCCTCATCGCCGGCAGCTTCACTTTCCTCGTAGACGGGCGTCACGTTGTGGCAGAGTGCAATGGCGCGCACGGCCTCTTGCACGCGGCTCGACATGCTGCGGCGGACACGGGCACCCTGTGGGGGACCAACCGCGCCGCCGGCACTGCTCCCAGATCCGGGGCTCAGGGTGTGAGCAGCCCTGAGGTGCTCCGCCACGTCCCCAAACGACTCGGACCCAAAAGAAACGGAACCCAGGTGCAGTTTCTTCAGCACCTGTCAACAAGGAAGCCAAACCAATGTTAGCAAGGTGCGAGATCACCTTGCTGTTTGCGGCATTTGATAGTCCGTAGCGTGCAGCGAGCAAGTAAGCCCAGCTGGATTTTAGGAGATGCGAAGGACAAAGGTAAATAAAAAATGACAGCAACGTACACTTGCACGCAAAATTAAAGCTGAAAAAGCTTTCAATACATTTTTCTATGCACATACCGATACGTGAACATGCAAAAAAAATAGTGCGGGATACAAAGCGTACAAACCATCTCGTTCTGAGTCAGCGTGCCGGTTTTGTCGGAAAGCAAATAGACAATCCGCCCCATCTCTTCAGGAATGGTAGTGGACCGCACCACGGTCCCGGGGATTTCCGCATCTTGCTGGATCATCCACGAGTACACCATTTTTCCCATGTCCAAGGTTACTCGAAGGCTACGATGCAACGGGTCGATGTTACCGGAATGTTATTGTAATTTGATGGGCTGACACTTACCTTATGGGGACAATGTAAGAGAAGAGAAGGACGAAACGCAAAAAATAGCGGTACCACGGACCGTCGAATCCCTGCAAAAGTTGAGCGAAACAAAGCAATTAAACATTTCCATCTCTCGGTGCCTTTCACTTGGTGCAGAATCGAATGCATGTTGATGATAACAACAGGCAGCTGTTGCTCAGTTACTTGGCTAGTCTAGCGGGTAGACGGCAGCCAGTCCTGGCCACCAGCTCACTTGCCTTGACAAGAATCATGACAAAGGCGAGACCGATAACTGCAGCAACGCATACTTTGGTCAGCTGATTAATCTCCAGGTCCAGCAGTCCAACCTAAAATGCATAATAAATGCATTGAGTGCTCTGAATCAATCTCATATGAGAGTGGCAGTGTTTATTCAGCAACCATAGAATAGTTGCACAACATTAGCAATACACAGCTTGCACCGACGTTATATCGGCCGCCTTTGCAGTGGCCTCGCTGCTGAGCGCGTACCTTTTGTAGCATACATTTCAAACCACAGAGTGTTTGTCTTGGCAAGAACAAGTATGAATGATCACCAGCATGGCATGATGACGTCATATGCAAGCCATGTATATATCTGACACAACCCCAAATCAAAATTAAGCTATATCAGACATCATTTCAAACAAAAAGTAATGTTAGGGGCCAGCTCTAAAACTATATACAGCTACGTCTAAATTTGTATGGCCTCAAAAATGCTAAAAGCTGTGTCACGAGAGTATGTCAGTTGTGTGTGTGGGGATGATGCCATGTAACATGTAGCCCATATTATCCACAGAGCAATGGGACGGTGGAGAGGATCATACAGACAGCGAAGCAGCTGCAGTCGCTGGACATCCACAAGGCACTGCTTGCTCGTCGGGATACCCCTGCAACTGAAGGGTACTCCCCTGTGGAACTCCTGATGGGAAGAAGGATACGGACAAATGTACCAGCCATGTCCAAAGAGTTCCAGCCTCGGTGGAACAACGAGCCCTTTCGGAAAAGGAATTGTGCATGCAAAGCCAAGCTGGGTGCACATTATGACGCCCGTCATAGGGTCAAAGAGCGAGACCCTATACCTCCACATACAGCTGTGCAAATTCTTTCAGAAGCAGCCACAAGTGGGACAGTGCTGCAAGCAACGCCATCTCCGCATTCGTATGTGGTGGACACGGCCACTGGCATCACTCATCACACTAGCAGACATCTGCAACCTTAGCAGCCTGGAATAATCGTCACGAGAGGCAGATGAAAATCAAGACCTCCAAGCCGCCTCAACCTGCAGGTGCTGGGAGTCTTCAAAGAAAAGGGGGATGTCGTGAGAGCCACAGTACGAAGAGGGCACCACAAGGCAGACGACAAAGAAGCCAGCGAGAGAACTGAGTGCGAGAGTCTCGTGCTCGGAATGCATACCTGCCAGCCTGTGGACTTTCAAATTCGTAAAAGTCCCGCGGCCGCGGCGAGGGGGTGGGGTGGGGGGGGGGGGGGGGGGGGGGGTTACGCGAAGCGATGTGCAGCTTAATGTCAGCCTGGCCAGCGTGCGAAATGCTTACATCACACGTGCACGTGCTACAGAATCCAAACTTCTCTCGCTTTTTGGGCGGCACGAAACACGGAAATTTCGACGTGTATGACTTCAGGAGCACCTGAAAATACCTCTTTTGAGGTTTCGAGTTCGGTGTTGCGCCGTGAAGCCACAGTGACCAGGTGAGTGCTGCAGTTATACGTGCAACAAACACAGACGCCGTACTTCTCGCCTCGAAACTGGCCAAAACAACGAGGCCTAACAACGTCTGAACACGCCGAACCAACGTGCACCAGTGCACCGCCAAACAAACGAACAAAGGCTTTGAGCTTTGGATTGGTTTTCGATCCGTGGCCACCGGATAGACAAATAGTAAAAACCACAACGTAGTAAAAACCACGACGCTGCTGTGGACGGTACCTATCGTCCTCTTGTGGCGGTGCAAGATACCGCCAACAACCCCCCAAAGTTACAAAAAAAAAAAAATAAATAAAAAAATTAAAAAATATATTTTTCGTAAGATTTGAAGCAAGATTCGTAAAATTAGTCCCAATTCGTACATTTTACGAAAAATTCGGAAGAGTTGGCAGGTATGCCCTCAATACGATGGACGCACGCCAACTGACGTGTGGGCTCACTGCTATGTATCTTATCTTTAACCCAAATTAAACGCCTTATTTTTGCCAGCCTCGTTCTGACATGGTGGCAGCGGCGAGATGCTGTGGAACACGGTTGCGAAGAGAAGTCTACTAGTTACAACAGCAACCGCTCCAAGGAGGCGGCTATAGGCGTCCTCCCAAAAGTATGCGAACGCTCGGAATCCGAAACTTTGCATTGCTACGCCAGAGGTGCATTTGCAACAACCATGCCGACCGGTAAGCGATGGCCACTAAGCAACAAGCTGTGCAATAACCAACGCCACTAAATCCTTTCGTTGTTGAGTTGCCAGAAAAATGGGATTTTCGACGTCCCGAAGACTACAAGTCTTCGGGACGTCGAAGACTTGTAGTGTTGGTTCACCCGATGGGAGAGGTACCGGGTCATTTCTGGGTTAAAAAAACAAGACGGGGAAACCCAAGTGAAAACGTTAGTTTATGCTATGGGCCGCGAGGCAGAAAACGTCCCGACGTCGCTGAAACTGGTGAATGCCCAGAAACACGACTAAGATGCAGTGACAACTGCCTTTGGCAGACATTTTGTCCCTCGGAAGAATGTCATTTACGAACATGCAAAGTTCAACAGGTGTGTGCAAGAGGTGCATGAAACGGTCAACGTCCTTGTGACAGATCTCTACAAGCTGGCAGAGGTATGTGCATATGGCGACTTAAAAGAAGAGCTAATTAGAGACCGACACGTCATGGGACTTGTCGATGTTAAGCTGAGTGAGCAGCTTTGGCTCAACCCTGAACTAAAGTTGGCGACGGCGATTTCCAACGCTCGCAATTCGGAGACGGTGAAACAGCAGCTCAGGGAATTGCGACCACAGGCACAGCTGAACACGATCGCAGACGAGCTTCACTCCTCCGCACAGCGAGCCAAAAACAAGAAGCTACCAATCCGCAACAACTAACTGAACCAAGCTTGCAGATGGTGTGGTTCCACGCGCCCAAACTTGCGTGCCAACTGCCCTGCTGTCGACAAGACATGCAATGGGTGTGGAAAAAAAGAACACTTCGTGTCAGTGTACCTTTCCACAAAAAAAAAACAGCCCAAGACAGCCAGAGTCAGCGCCACGTTGCACTTGAAGCGGTTTACCTGGGTAAAGTAACAAACCAACTCGGATCAGAACCATGGAGGATCACAGCTTGTGTAGAGTTCAAGGTGGACACGGGAACCGACGTCACAGCTATCCCGTCCAGGGTCTACAACAGGCCGGCAATGGGACCACTCAGCAGACCTACGAAGGCACTCCTGGGGCCCGGCCGAGCCAAGATTTTCACCGTGGGACAGTTCGAGGCGACCCTGAGGTGGAATGGACGATCATGCCAGGAGCAGGTGTTCGTAGTGAACAAGCTTCACGACGCGCTTATGGGCCGTCCAGCAATCAAGTCTCTATGAGTCCTGTGCAGCCTGTCGGTGGTCGAGGAATCTGAGGAAGAAGACACAGCCGTCATCTTCAGTGGCTACCCCAAACTGACCGCGGGTCTCGGACTACTAAACACCGAGTACAAGGTGGCTCTGCTTCCCAACGCCAAACCGTATGCGGTAATATATTCAAGGCTTGTGCCTCTTCCAATGCTTTTAAGTGTCAAGCAGGAGCTGGAGCAGATGATGAGCCTCGGAGTCATTGCAAAGATAGACCATGCAAATGAGTGGTGTGCACCAATGGTTGAGGCCAGAAAGAAAAACGGAGAACTACGCATCTGTGTTGATTACAGTGGCCTGAACAGCTGCATCCTGAGGGGACGAGTCTTAATGCCAACTGTCGAGAAATGGCTCGGAAAACTGGCTGGAGCAACCTGGTTCAGTAAGCTCGATGCCAGAGCGGGCTACTGGCAAGCCCCACTGGCAGCCGAATCGCGAGAACACAACCCTCTTGACACCATGTGGTAGATTTCAGTTCCTCCGACTACCATTCGGTACCTCCACTGCACCCAAGTTCCTCCAGCGTGAGATGCTTAGAGTGCTCGAAGGTCACGAGGGCCAAGCTTGCCTCCAAGACGACATCATGACATTGTGTTCGGAAGAAAGAGAGAAGAACACGACCCACACTCGCATCGAGTACTCGAGCGCCTGCAAGATGAGGGCATAACTCTCAACAAGGACAAATGCGTTCTTTGCAAACAGTCTGTAAAATTCTTCGGACATGTCGTCTCGGCCAACGGGGTCACTGCGGACCCAGTAAAGATCAAGGCTCTCACTGAACTGACGCCGCCAGGAGATGTATTGGAGATCAGGTCGTTCCTGGGCATGGCAAACCACCTGGCCCAATTTCTCCCTGGACTCTCTCAACTCACAAACTGCTTTGCGATTTGCTTCACCATGATGCTGATTTGCTTTGATTCCATCAAAAAAGCACTAATGACTACAACGGCACTGGTATGTACACTACGATCCTCGAAGTCATCTCACAGTCTCGGCGGATGCATGCTCGTAAGGCCTTGGGGCGTCCTCCTTCAGGAGACATCTGGAAGATGACTCCCTGTCACCTACGCATCACGGTCACTCTCAGAAACCGAACAACGCTACGCACAGATCGAAAAGGAGGCGCTGAGAATCACATGGGAATGCGAGCATTTCTGCCAGTACTTACTCGCTCTGCGATTCCACAGAGAAACCGACCACAAGCAGCTCGTGCCTCTGTTGTCATCCAAGCGCATAGACGAGTTAAGTCCCCGATGGCAGCGTCAGCAAATGAGACTGCTGGAATTCGACTACACATCTCCCACATTCCCGGAAAGGAGATCCACACAGCTGACATACTCTCACGACAAGCTGCATCCACTTTTGTGAACCCCGTTCTCCACTGTACACAGCATGAACACAGCATTGGTGCTGCTTTGCATCTTACTCATATAAAGTAGCTACAGTGCACTGTGCTGTGCTTTGTACTAAGCATTCTGTTACCAAAGCACAATGTGGTAAGTTTTTCAGAATGTGAAGTGATTTATTTTAGTTTGAACTATTTTATAAATACATATAACAGTGAAACATGTCTAACATGTGCCTTCTTATTTAAATAGGTAATAAATATGTATTAGTGAAACATGTCTAACAGTGTCTTTTCAGGTAAACAGGATATGAATTTATAAGAGAACTCTAATAATACATAGGCTGAGCCACACAGCATGCGTGTGTATGCTGTGTGACTCAGCCAAGACATCTTTGAATACATGGCTTGCACGTGACATCATTCAAAAAGCGCTCCGATGACCACCAGAGAAGAGGGAAAGAAGGAGCTCCCCTCTTACCAAAATACTCTTTTGTGCCTCCCGAATTTGCACAGACGTCGCTATTTTCCTACCAGAAGATTATAGAAGATAAACACATCACTCAAAATTCTTACGAAAGCAGCTTTCCTCTCCTCCTCTTACATGGTGGCCAAAAGTATGCGATGCGACGTTAGTGCAAGCCATGTATAGACCGACACACTGTTTACAAACAAGCCCGCATTTGCCCACACCAGGTGTGGGCACTGCGCGTGCGTAGAAACCAAGTTCAGGAGAAGTGAAGCGTCTGCACATGCGCAGTGCTGTCGACAGTGCCACCGCAGCTGCACGACGTCAGGGCCGCGTGTTGGTCTATAAAGAACACCCACCCGCATCACACAATATAGCCTACCTTATACCCGAAGATCCCCTGCTTAGATCTGTGCTAAGTGTTGCACACAGCAATGAAAAGATGAGACTATAGCTTGTTTTATCATAACCCAACCTTAACTTTTATTATTAGTGATGTATGGTGTCACATTACTTTTGATTTGGAGAAATGTACACCTTGTTCACTGCACACTAAATGTATTTATTGTATCCGTAGTATAATTTCTAAAGCAGCAAAGTTGTAAAAACTGAAAGCTGACAAATGAAATACTGAAATACCTTGCTTCGAGCTTCAGAGTTGTTCATGACACTTCTAGTTTCCCGGCCGGTATAGATGACAATACCAATGGCAGTGCCTGAAGCCACAACTGTGTTGGCCCACAAAGTGTTTTCGATGTTCAGTGCATCCTCTGTAGGTTCACCGTCGTGCTGCAAAAGAATTTTGGCCTACCTGAAAGCTACTACTACCATGCTTCAAAAAGTAGCACAAGCAACCAATGCTTTTCTCCCCCCTCTAAACCATTTTCACTTTTGAGAATGAATACTGTAATGAAGCAACAATGCAAAGGCATTAAACCAAAAATATACGAGCTCTCACTTGTAACTGAAAAGAATGACAGTATGTCTGACCTCAAACGGCTTTCATAAAATTGACTTGTCAGCTCAAAGGGCAAGGTAGAGTTCTCTTGAAATTATTAAATCCAACCTTTTCCAAATAGGTGCTGCCACGTAGACGAGCGACTGGGTTTGAGATTGAGTGGCTAGGAAACAATGAACTTGCAAGAGCTCTCCCGCCCGTATGACACCCAAAACGTTGGTTACGTCCTGTTGGCCCATTGAAACGCCATGACCTAATAGATACGACTTCCCCAAACTTCGCATTTTGTCCCCAGTGGGTTTTATATTTGGCCCCAAAGTTGATACAAAGAAGTCATCTTCCCTCTTTGCTCGGCCAGAAAGAAGAGAGAGAGGGAGAGGGGGTGCGAGAGAGCTAAGCAGTCATGTTGTATGGTACTGAACTGGTATGGTTTCAAACTGAACAAATACTTTCTTAACCAAAAACCAGCTCCAGTACTGTGAAACCTGCAGCTCTATAGCAAATTTTGTATTAGTGAGCCTAAATTTATGCTTACGGATGAGACTATCCTTAAACTTTAAAATCTGCCAGTGTATACCGAGTAATAGCCGCACTATTTGTGAAGAAGGCCCCAGCATCTCCTTTCCCGCAGAACACAAATACAGCCAATCATCGCGTTGTGCATAAATAACATAGCGAATAACTAGATTGAAAACACGATTCTCCATACAAATGCAATCTTCACAGATGTTATCTTCGTGCCAAAACTTTATCTCTGTCCTGTAAACCGCTGGAATCATGCTGTCGAAAGCGGTGATTGGCAATCCCCATGCTCCACGGAAAAGTGAACCCTCAGGTTTTCTTCATAAACTGTGCGGCTATTGCTCGAGTAAATATGGTATATGTCAGATTTTGGAGTTTACAATAGTAGTGCCCTAATCTTAATCAAAATAAGGCACAAAAAAAAAAAAAAAGGTTTGGAAAACCAAGATTTTTAACTACTGTACGCCATGCTTTGTTATCCTTAAGCCCACCAATAAATCATGTCTCTATCACCACCAAGTTGAAAATATTCTAATGTGGCAATATCTCGAACCCCAGTCACTTCCTCGGTTATCTCTGCTGGCCTTATGCACTCACTGTGTACACTTTCCTATAGAGGAATGTCCGAGTGAAAACAATCTATCGGGTGTCTCAAATAACAGCCAGGCTCTTTAAATCGACCGTAAAATTTGGTTTATTAAATTATCGCACTACAATTTTGTGAAGCATTGCCCACAGGTGGTGCTTTTTTTCTATTTAATTTGCAAAGGGCAACCTTACCTGGGCAAAAAGTAAAGAAAAAAAAAGCTTTACTTCTATGGAAACCCAGCAAAGCCACTGGTCTTCAATCAATAGGGTGCCCTATTGTTTGCAGACTGGTGGCTTCGCTGCGTTTCCATAGGAGTTAAGCCTTTTTCTTTTTTTTTTACTTTTTCCCCAGGTGTGGGCAACGCTGCATAAAATCATAGCGCAACAAGTTAAGAAACCAAATTTTGCGGTCGATTTAAAGAGCCTGGCCGCTACTTGAGACACCCGGTATTGCGGCAATATCTTGTTAGGACCCAATCACTCTCTCAGCTATTTCTGCTGATTATATGGACTCACTCTTGTAAACTTTCCTATGAAGCAGTGGATGTCTTTCTTTGGCTCTTCTGCATACACACATGCATCAATCTCCAGCATTTCCTAAAAGAAGAGATAACCATCAAATGAATAACACAAGTTTGAAGGTTTCTTGCCCTTCTGACTAGCTAATGTCACTTATGGTCAAATAATTCAAACAAGTTTCATAGTAGACAGTCATCATACTTCTCTTAACTACTACAGTTGAACCTCATTATAATGACATGACATCGCAAAAAACAAAACCATTCGTTATATTCTATATTCCTCATAAAAGAATAGAAATCAAAGCGAACATTCCCTTACTTGGGCCAGTGGTATAGGCATACAAAAGTGCACATCGTCAAGATATATGAAAACGCACCGTTGCAAACCTTGAGCCCTATTACCAACATGCAAATCCTTACCTGTGATTCCAAGTCACAATTAAAGTAGACAGAAACAAGAAGAGATCAATTTACAAAAGGAGCAACTGTGTTGGCCGAGTGCACAAAATTTATTTGAAGAATAATATAGTCTTTGATTGGTGCCTTTTCCCGGCATTGTGAAGGATGAAGTTCACCGTGTCCATGCAGGACAGAGCTTTTCCAAGTCCAGCCGTGGGGAGTTTTTCGAGGTAGTTGCACAGCTTCCTTACCATGTCCACCAGTGCCTGTGCTACTCTTGGAAAATTCTTCGATGTCGTCTTTGCTGTAGCTGCTGCTTTCATTGCAGGGCAACAAAACACAATCTATGATTTCCCAATCCTTCAGCTCAGGTGCCACAGCAAGGTTGTCATCAGCAGAGACGAAGTCCTCAAATGACACGTTTGGCAGGGCTAATTGATGCCAAGTAGACTCGTCTGGTTCCTCTGCTAAGTCTTCGCGGCGAGGTTCATCGATGAGAAGAACAAAGCCGGCATCTGCAGAACAGTTCCTTATTGTGGACTGCCTCAAGTCGTTCCAAGACCCGTACAACATTTGCACTTTTGTCTTTATGGTGATGGAGGTCAAGTGGCGCCGATCGATGTCAAACGCGAGCTGCGTCACCAAGCATTTCCGGTAGCTACGCTTCAGGGACCAGATGATGCCCTTGACCAAAGGCTGAAGCAGAGAAGTTGTGTTTGGTGGCAGGAACATTAAAGCACTGCCTTCAGTGAAGTCGACACCTTGTGCGCCGAACAGTTTCCCAAGAGAAACAGGACCTTCCTGTTCTGTGCGTCTATACACAGAGCATGGATGTCAACCAGGCTTTTTTATTCGACCAGTAGTCTACCTACAAGTTTTGGACGCCTCGCAGGCACATGGGGTGGGCAGACTTTCCGATGACAGAACATGGATGGCACGCCTCTTGTCGCGCCATCCATGTTTGCAGCAACAACGACAGTAACTCGCTCCTTATGTTTTCTTCCACCGTGACACTTTTTGTTCTTCGCGTCCAGCGACCACTCTGGTAGTAGCTTATAGAAGACCCCAGTCTCGTTAACGTTGTACACGTTGCATTCTCCGCATTCTTGAAGTACGGGCCTGAAGTTTTCCAGTCACTTCTCGCGTGTCTCAACGTTAACGGCCGACACATCACCAGACAATGCGTGGTAAGCAATCTCGTCTTTAGACACTCAGCGGTTGGCTCCAGCGTTCCCTTAAACGGCTGGAGCCAACCGCTGGTTGCAGTGAAGTCTTCAAGCTTCAAGAGGCACGCTAATCTATTAACCTATGTTTGCAAGAGGGCGCCAGACACGGGAAAGTTTTGCGCCTTCATGTCTTTAAACTAGGAGAATAAAGCCTCTTCCACGTCAGGGTACACACAAGGCCTCACATGCTTTCTGTCACTTTTGACGGCATTGCTCGTATGCATGTCTTCAATCTTCTTCCTTCTACCAATGATTGTAGATAATGTGCTTAAAGCAAGGTCAAAATCCGCGGCAATGCCTTTTTTTATTTTGACTGCAGTCTACCGCTCTTAAAATTTTAGTTTTCCTCTTTAGAGAGACAGCTTTACGTTCCATTGCCATATTCACGGGCTCGGTATAGGGAGCACGGGTGGTGGCTGCAGGCTACTGGGGGACAAACAAATGCCTCAGTGTTTGCTATCACCGACAGGTGACGCCACCCCCCAATCCCATTCTTCCTTCGTTTACGTGTCGAGTTCATGGTTGGTGTCAGCCGCCGCCCATAATGCACATTTGCGGGCACCGGGTGATCGGAACACCAAAGATCAAACTAAACATTTGAAATATTGCATTCGCTGCCTGCTTTTTTTAAATTTATGAATTTTCTGCCGCTGATTACATGTTTCGAGCTGCACACTGAACAGAAATTGCTTCGTTATAGCAGATTTCGCGCCGAATTTCGCAGTTTCAGTTTCATTATAAATGCAGAACTACCATTGAAAGAAAGCATGGACAGCCAAACTTCATATCTACTTCGTTATATCTGATATTTCGCTATATCAGTGTTCGTTATAATGAGGTTTGACTGTACCTCACCATGTTAGACAATTATGTGCAAATGTAGATCACCAGGATGTAGTTAAGCACTTTTTAGGTTCTATATCTCTAACGAACTAATCAAACCACAAGATTCCTGTCTCAATAGGTTTGTCAACATTTGACTCTCATGCTGCAACTCTGAGGAAATTTTCATCAGGATTCAATTATTCTCAGAAACTATAACTAAGCATAAAATAGCTGGTGCCATATTCAAAGAGAACTTTTCCAAGAAATCAACAGTATCTCCCTCTCCCACTGGCCAAGTTTAGGTCAGTGGTTTTGATGCATGTAGCATGTGGAAACCAATCAATCACATGGCAGAAACCGGAAAAGTGACAAGTCAACAGGTACAAGCTCTGCCCCTTGATCCTGATAGCCTTAAATGAGACAGGCCAACAGCACTCACTATAATTCCAATTTCCTTGTGCCAACTAAAATTTTGCATTTAGAAATTCAAAAGGCAATACACACCTCTGGGCTTGCTAACCGCTGAGTGGAATCAACGGCAACCCTCAGCTTCCAATCTGTCTCGCCATCCAGTTGGTCCGTTCGAATGAAACACGAGCCGTTTTTTTCCGTTGTTTGCAGCAGCACCATGTCTGCAGGCACTCTTTGGTTCTAGGAGATTTGTAAAAAAGAAATTTGAAGGTGTTCTTTTAGATCCGTTAATAACATGGATGTTCCTTAAGCACGGAACATTTTCTTGTTTTTTATTTTGTATAGAGATACGGCTACAGTTTATGAACAGCATATTCCAACCTAAAATCTTCTAATAATAAATGCAGTTTTGAGTTTAAAAAAAACAGACACTAACAAACCTACTTTTTTTTTTTCTTTTTTTCCTATTTTTAAGAAACAGCCACAGTACAGTTACCAGATGAGAGGCCTACCTTTTCAATCATGATGAGGTCAGAAACTTTAATATCCGAGCTGGGAATGCAGCAAACTCCGCTGGGTGTCAATTTCTTAAATTGCTGCGAGTTCACCTCACGGTCACGAGCATACCGTCTGCAGTCGTCGATAAACTCTCGAATGAGGGTCACCGCCAGGACGAAACCCTGTAAGGAAAGACAATTGGATGCTCAAAAGCACGGCGAAATATTGTTTCTATAAAAATTAGAACCCACCAAAGTTGTGCTCTGGCAGAAGGACTGAGGATTAATTTAAACCACCCGAGAATCTTTAATATGCATCCGAAATCCAAGCTACCCGCAAAGATTCTGAAATCAGCCTCCGGCACATTGCAAGCACCTCAGCTGGAAGTCAAACCCCCCAACTTGGCATCGGTAAGCTAGCACTTGGCCTCGCAGCCACTTAGGTGGCTTTCATATTCAAGTGAAGTCATGGCATCGAGCATTGTTTTTAACTCCAATTTTATTGTACTCCACCATACAATCGTGTGCCACGAAACTAAAAAAGCAGTGGAATACTTCTAAAAACTCTTGGTGCACTACATAGCTGCCAGATACGACTTCAACAGTAAAGTTTTAAAATATGCTAAAAGGTTACTGAAACAAGTGGCAGCTGAATATATGTAAATACAACAAAATAACTTGCTCAGAGGAAATTCCTAAATGCACGAAGTGCAGCCCTCCACTAGAAAAAGGAGGGTCTTGAGGAATGAAGATGGCCCAAATGCTCACCAGGGGGCCCCAGTAGGTGTAGAGATATCCGATTCTGATGTCAGGGATGAACTGGGACAAACATACCACCAAAAAGTACAAGTTCAAAAAAAATTTGAACTGATTAAATAAGACCTGAAAGAGAACAACAAACAATGTTACAGGAATAGTCATTACTAAACAACACAGACTTACAGTTCAGGGTATCACGAGAAACACCCAAAAACTGTTTTAGCACAGCTTTAGCTAAAACACCAAACAGCTTACCAAGGGAAGGAACGTTAAGATGTTGTATTTCTGGTTGCATATCTTGTTTGGAGGAAACTTCTCCGACGGTGACCTTCCCAAGAACACCGTCCTCGGTTGGTACTCGTGTGCCCTGCAGCAGCCCATGGTGATGGTTCGACAGCAACTGCAGCATTCAAAACATCCATTAGGGTTCTCTTCAGAAACAACAGAAAAGATTGATCGAGTAAAAATTCAAGAAATGCATGAGGTAATGCACTCTGAGTAGATACCTTCTAAGAATGTGCACACTGGAAATTTCCAGCAACATTACTCAACAGGGAAGAAAGTTCTAGGCATTAGAAAGTTGCTCACTACACTCTGACAATGGCCAATAAATTATAAAACCTATCCCTGCAATTAGTCGCTTTAATTAAACATATCAAGCTGCAAACATTATACTGACTGACACACTGCTTTGCTTGTCTAACAGAGGCAGGAATCATATCCAACTGAGCTTTCATTTTTACTACCATCCTATTTTAGCTTTTTCAGTGAATGAAAGATGCACACTGGAGTCAACGAATGCATGCAGCAGAGCAGTAATGCCACCTGTGACACCGCTAGCCATGAGATGCACCTGCGAGCTCACTGGGCTGGGTTTTGGGGGGTTCATTTTAAGTGCCAATTAAAAGGTGTCATTACCCTTTTGCACATTTTTTATCCCATCAAGTCATGCATTCATTTATTAGAAAAGAAGAAGAGAGGGAAAGAAAAAAAAACCTTGCATAGGGTCTTTTCTATTTGGTAGTGAGGATTGCAATTGAGACCATATATTTTCCAATGTTAGGTTTAAAAAAAAAGTGGGGGAAGTTAAGCTTTGATAGTTTAAAAAAAAAACAAAAAAAAAACAGGAAACAGTTGGGTATATCTGTAGACTATATACATTCACAAGTCAAAAGAATTATTCAATGCCCGAAGGAAATGTTCGACTGATGACAACTTCCCGCTTGATCCCCCAAAGCCCAAGCATTAATTCCATTTTTCCAAAATTGCGTCCCTGAAACAAACAGCAAGGTCCAATGTACCAGCCAAACCAAGTTCAGTAGGTTTCCTATGTGTGTGGGGCACTGCTACCTTTTAAAAGGATCTTCTATAAAACTGCATCAACCAACATTATCACTCATATTCAATGCATAGTGTGTAATTGGAGCCAAGTCCAAAGTCAACCGTCTACCAATGCAATGAATGGAAGGAGCTCCAATCTGAACACTGATGCAACACTCGTGTCTAATATGTGCAGAGTGCACACAATTAATATATGGCAGCCTCGATAATTGGCACAGCTACTACCAGATAGTGCATCTTTTGTGAGGGGCCTATTGTCCTCGAATTGATGAATCTGCCAGTTTTAACTTTTACGAAATTATTTCATTCAGAACACTTCAAACAATCTGGAAGACTGAAACAATTACATCACCCTTACCAGCTGAGACATGGACAGACTACAATTCTCAAACTTGCAGGTGCCAGTGATAGTTTAAAAGGATACTACAACGAAATTTCAACGCTTATTTCTTGGTCTATTCGTGTTCAGGGGAGCATAATCACATCAGATACACCAATCTCTTGTTGAAAAAGACACGAAAAGGTATTTTAAAATGAATTAAACGACTGGCAAAGAGCAGCTGGCGGATGTCGCTAACGCCTCGTTTGTAATGCCCGTCTAGGAACCTTGAGAGGTAGTAACGGTATCTCTCGCCTCCGGCCAAGGCCACGACGAGAGAAAAGAGAGAAAAGCTTCTAGGACACACAAAACAAAGTCTCTCTGAAACTTTCTTTTGTGTGTCCCAGAAGTCGCTATTGTCCCTCTACAAGATTACCCTAACCCGTCATTCAAAATTCATACAAAGGCAGCTATGGGGTTACTTGGGGTGGCCCGATCGCTGGTGTGCTTTGGCTGCTTTTAGCGGATACTACGAGCCATCAGGGCCTATCCAAGGCCGTGTGAATGACACGTGACTTGGAGAGGGGGCATAGCAACGCGCAAAAAGCGTATCACAGGCTACGTCCACACAGCGGGATTGGCTAGAATAGCTCGCAGCGTCCGGACGAAAGGTCCCCAGACAAACTGTCACGACTGCGGCGGATGTGACGTGCTCTTTGTTGGCTGCTCTCCGAGCGTTTACCAGAGTGGGACGTTTATAACGAGAAATACAGCCATCAGGCTCAAAATACAAACAAGCGATTGTCATTTACGGATATTGTGGATCATATTCAGCCTATTTGTGAACACGACGGGTATACTTCAAATTTCGTTGAAGTATCCCTTTAAGGGAAACAAGAAATCTGTCTACTTGCTCTTGCAAGGATAGCATTATCTGTCATAACATGCCAGTGCACATTTTCCCATGCCATATGCAACTTTTGAAAGAAAGTAGTACAACATACTGCCACACATTTGCTACGGGTTGACATACATATTTGGTATGCTGCTCTCTCCAAGATATTACACCCGTCTCTGTCTTTCAAAAATACCTTGCAGAAGTTAATAAATAAGTTCTCAGAAAAAGCAGTTTAGCAATCCTTTGTTACATAGTCCAAAAAGCTCACCTTTGGAGAGCTGATGATAAGCAATCGCAGCAGCTCATGGCCCTCGTTTTGCAATGGCGGCTGGCAGCGTCCTTCTCAAGTAAACTGTCTCCTTCTCCAACGTCAAATCCTTCGTCACTGCTCAGACTAAGTCGTGAGGAGCTAATCCGGGGGGATCTAGATGAAGTAGAAAGGTACAAAAATTCTGTTAACACATTGCATTTGTTTGTGCATCGTGTATATTGTTGTGTAGTTTCCTAATGTCTTCTCAGCTCGATCTGAACAATGCTGAGAGCTCTTAGAAGGCTGCTGATCTTGGCTTTCTACAAGGCAGGAGAGCCTCTTTGTTTCATCCTCTCTCAAATTTAAGAAAAAGAAGATACTAGGAGAAAATGGCTCTACATACTCTTTGTTCAGAAGAGGAAATGCAACACCTGGGGAAGAAGGTATGAAGGAGGGAGGGGGTGTGGGAGAGGAAAGAGACCAGAAGTGGAAAGCTTTAAGTGTGCAGCAACCTCCTAAAGAATTTACCAAGCTATGCTACCATGGTTCCTCACGCTCATTTGTGTAGGCTCCAAACTTGTCAAAGAGAAAACCTGAACTCATGTAAAATAGGATAATTTGTCAGTAAGTCAGTGGAAAATACCATAAGTAAAAAGTGCACCTAAAGTTAAAATAACACATTTTCATTTATTTCTCCTTAAAGGCCTGATGAGGCATTACGTAAGGGGGGATGTGAGCGAACATAATACAATAATTTGGAACACAAAAAACAAAGTAAAACAAAGAAAGGAAACAATAGTAATAAAAAGCGCATACAGTGACAAGCTGGTATGACAGTGGTGGTTAGCAGAGGTACAAGGTGACTGACTGGCAGAAAATGGATTGGTCTGAAATAAGTACTATTTCCTCAGGGAGGGAGCTCCAGATGGTTATACTAGCTGGTGAGAAAAATGAGGTATTAAAAACTAGTGTTTTGCCTGTTATATGTTTGATGCAGTGACTGTAATTGAGGCGAGATGATATCCTATTTGGAGGTAAAAGAAGGGTGTCATATGGACTTGTGTTTTTGTAGTAAACTTTATGTATGAGACACATTCGAGAAGTTAGTCTGCGGTCAGAGAGTAATGGAAGTTCTATGGCTAGTTTAAGTTATGTTACACTGATGCCTGATGCCATAGGAATATGTTGATGTAATAAATCGAGCTGCACGGTTTTGGCTTGCTTCAAGGTTAACAGCAAGGTAGGCTTTTGAAGGATGCCAGATGGACGATTCATATTCTAGTTTTGGACGAACAAATGTTATGTAAGCCAGTTTTCTTGGGTGAGAGGGTGCAGATTTAGATGGCATTTTAAGTATCTGAGGGTGCGTGATGCTTCAGCTGTTACAATGTCGATATGCTGAATCCATGAGAGTGAGGGAACCAAATGGACACCAAGGTACTTTTAAAATGATGCAGTTCCGATTACAACGCCGTTTAGAGAGTATGGATAAATAATAGTATGTAGATTTTTTCCCTGTGAATTATATAAGTTTGCTTTTCTCGTGGTTAAAAGGGATAAGCCATTTATCGCACCAAGCGCCATTTCATGTTAGGTCATTTTGTAGAGTATGATGATCGGAGAGATTTGAGACCGGATGGTAAATGACGCACTCATCAGCGAACAGTCTGATTTTTTAATTAATGCCATGCGGAAGTTTGTTTATGTATATAAGAAATAAAAGTGGGGAAAGTCCTGTGCCCTGGGGAACACCTGAAGTTACGTTTGCAAGGGGTGATTTATGATTATTAGCTATTTTGAACTGTACTCGGGACGTGGCAAAATCATGAATCCAGGAGATGATGGCTATGTCAAGGCCAAGCACCGAAAGCTTAGAGAGAAGACCATTATGTGGTACTTAAACGAAGGCCTTGGAAAAATCCAGGAATATGGCATCTGTTTGATAGTTGTTATTCATGTTAACATGCAAGTCATGAGTAAATTCGGCAAGTTGGGTTTTGCAAGAAGATTTTGTAGAAAACCACGTTGATGAGGGTAAAAAAAATTAATCGAGTTAATGTGATTGATTATGCTGGAGCTAAGTATATGTTTTAAAATCTTTGATGGAACGCTAGTTAAAGAAATTAGATGATAATTAGATGTGAGTGATCGGCTACCCTTTTAATGGACAGGGACTATCTTCGCTATATTACAATCTTTTGGACCATGGCCAGAGGAGACAGATTGGGAAAAAATTAAGCTGAAATATGAACAGGCAATTATATTAGTGTTCTTAAGAATTTTGGAGTTAAATATTTATCTGCCCCAGCAGACGATGATAGTTTTACTTTGTCAATAAGGGAACTTATTTCAGCGGGTGATATTGTTATAGATGGCATGACGTTGGTTGGCAGTGAGAGAGGAGAGGGAATCCTGTCGAGGTTTTCAACTGCGATAAGGATACAAAAAAGTTGTTTAGGGCTGTTGCGCAATCGCTATCACTGATAGGATCCTTAATGCCATTGGTCAATCCCAGTGATCGAAAATAAAAGTTAGGTGATAGAAGCTGCCAAAATCGAGTTGGATTCGTGCGAAGAATTGATGGCATGTCATCAGATAGAAATTTTGCTTTAGGATGTTTAACGTTTTTGAAATATTCTTTTGAGAGTTCTCTGTGTGCTTCCCAATCTAGGATGAGGCCAGTATGTTTTGCTTTGCTACAGAGGCATTTCTTTTTGTTACTCCAAGAGTCTTATTAAACCAGGGATGATTCCTATCGGATTTAATAAAGATGGTTGGAATAAAGGCATCAATAAGATCGGTCAGCTCATGTTGAAAGAAGTTCCAGTTTTCTTCGACAGTTCTGGAAGTAGTGTTCACTTCACTGAAGTCTCTGTAATAGGCGTGAAGTTCAGCGTTAATAGATGCAGTCTTTTTTTTTGCTATCTTCAATTTTTGCATGGCCGTTTTTCTGTTGATGGGAAATTCATGTTTAAGCTTCGGTAATCCCCTAATCCCGGCAGATGAATGATTTTGAATATAGTCAACGGTGGTTGAAAACGGGAGATTGAGTGTGTTGCCGAGTCTAGTTGGTTAGTTAATGACTTGAGTGAGGGTGAAGTCAAGTGTTAAATCAAGGAACCTTTTAGATTTATTTGCGGTACTAACCATGTTGAGTTAACCTGATACTGAGGTAGAGAGGAACCGTGAAAATGAAGAAGAGACAGAAAATAGACAGGACGATGTCTCAATGAGAATTGAGACGTCGTCCTGTCTATTTTCTGTCTCTTCTATGTTTCGATGTTTCCTTCTCTACCCCAGTCTCAGGTTAATTCAACATGGTTAATATTCACCAGCTCGCCTGCATCCCTATGTTATTTTCTTTTTGCGGTAACTTTTCCTGCGACTGTGAGTGAGGTCCAGTGTATGTCTGGGTAGTGGAAGTCGCCAAAAAGAAAAAAATGGTGATTCATGATGTGCACTTTTAAGTTCATCAAGGGCATCTCATAGATGATCAACAAAAACCTCACTGCTGTCCGGTGCCCTGTAGCAAATTCCAATGATTGCTTCGAAAGTAGGGGATTTGATGCAAACCCATATTAATTCAATGGAACTGTTACGACTGATGCAGTAGGATGATATGTTATTTTTTATAGCAACCAAAATGTTGATTCTCCTGCGCGAGTGTCGATCACGACGATAAATATTATAGTGCATCTGAGGAGGAAATATTTCACTGTCATGCACATTATCAGTTAGCCACGTTTCTGTGAGGATGACAATGTCAGCTGTACAATCATCAATGAGGCTATGAAGGTCGATACGTTTAGGCATGATGCTACATATGTTAATGAAGGTAACAGAAAGTTGAAGCAGCTATCATGTTTATTATTTTTAGTAAGGAGAGCACTGGTTCTTCGAGAATGACCTATCTAGCTGCTAGTTTCAATGACGGAATCCAAGGCAACATCGTAGACATGGCTTGCTTAGTTCCAAGTGCTGTCGGCACACTAACTATTTCATGCTGTGATCGATTGGACAAGCTATTTAAGCCATGACTGCTCACACACAATTCCGAAAAAAAATGTGAGATTAGGGCTCAGGTTTTTGTTCTGTGCATTTATAGAAAAATTAAAAACTTGTCAGCTGAATATTTAGTTTTTACCAAAATGTGCCAAAATTATGACTTAAAAAAAGGCCAAGGTTTTCAGAGTTTATTTTTATCACTTCGCTCAAACTGTAGCAAGGCTTCAAATTCAAATGACAACAAACTCCCAGAAAGTGGAATGGTGAAGTGGGGGAAGAGGGGGATGAGAGAACTCTAGTTTTTAGTAGGCTCTTCTCATGATTTGTTTTAGTGTAGTTCTTTTGAAATGGAACAATGTCAAAGTGCACAGTTATGGTGTTGAAGTGAACTCCATGTTGGATTTAACAGACAAGTCATGAGACAAACTCCTGAAACAGTTCTGCTGCCTACAAACAGAGGTTGGTTGACAAATGGCACTCTGGCTTAGAACCTGCCACACAATACACAGTTCAACCACAATTCAAGCCCTTTCTGGTCTAAGGCGTGCATTCTGATCTTAACCCTCAACCCTAAATTTTGGCAGGACCTTGATTCATACAAACTTATCGTCACTTTTTTTACGCAGTGGTGACACTCAACACTTTGGAGGATGAGTTTGCCGAGTACATGCGGTATGTTGCAGAAGAAGCAGTTGTTTGATCACTTTCAAGAAGTGTCACTTTTCCAGCTGGTCATGTTGGCTATGTGTGGTACTGAACGTCACAACACTTTCAGAACCAAGTCCGAGTGTTGAAGGTATGTTTCCACAGTTCTGAATATACAACCAAAAGGAGTGCAACCAGCTGAGGGATGAAAATGAGGAAAGTCGCTCAAAACTGTGCCTCTCCTACAATAAGGTGGAGTGAAAGAAGTGGTTTCAAATTTTGTTCTTTATGATGCCACGAACATGCATGACAGCAAATAAATGGTGGATGTCGACTGTAGCACCTAATTGTTTCATTTTTTTTATTTTTTATTAAAGCAAAAAAAAAAAATAGGTGCCAAAAATATAAGCACCAAAAAGGGCAGAGTGTAAAAATTAAAATAAATGCCAAAAACAACCTACTGATTCTGAGCCCTATGCACAGCATATCCCAAACATTTCAGCTGCTGTAGCATTAACTAGAAACATTGACTAGTGAGCTGTATGTCTCCTTTATTACGTTGTACTTGATTAGTCACTCTCACCTGGAAAATTTTTGAAGTGCAACTCCGTCCCTGTAAAAGGGGAGAATGAATACTCTGCATTTACCAATGACAGGAAACCAACCAAACATACATTGACCACATTTGCAGATGTTATGAAGGGATGGTGCCACCACTCCCATCAAGTGCAAAAACAAATTGAAAGAAAACTTTGAAAACTGTGTTATAGTCGGTGACAGGTTAAGAGTAAAGTGGAAGCCCCTCCCACTTCTCTCCACTTTAGCAGAGTGAATGCTGGAGAGGAGGCAACCTCCTCTCCAGCCTTCGCCCTGTTAAAGTGGAAAGAGGTGGGAGGATCCTCCACTTTACTATTAACCTGCCACCGACTATAGTCAACAGTTTTCAAACTTTTTTTTTTTATATAAAACCTGAGCTAAGCCTAAAATTAAACACGCACAGCAAAACTAGGAGAAAAAAAAAGAAAAGAAAAAGATGGTGGCCCCATTCCTTATTAGTGCCTGCAAATATGGCCGTCCATTGTCTAGTTGGCCACCTATCATCGCCAAATGCATGGTTCTAAATCTCAGTTTTTATGGAGACAGAGCTGCCCTAAACCTGATGTGAATATCTCGTGTTCAATGGTGGCTTAGTTGAAAGAGCTCTCCTGTTTCCATGTTACCAGTGCGTGCTTAGCTGGCGAAAGCCACAAAAGAATATCATAAGACATGCTGATTGCCAAGTGCTGCTTAACCTGTGCACATGAACTCATTGCCTTCTAGCTGGTTAGTGAGAGTAATGAAAGACAGGGTGTTTGGAGTGAACAAAGAACCATATTTTTCTTGCCGCAAACATAAGTTATGAATTGCCGGACGCTCAGTCTCTGCCCAAGTGTAGTGCTAGCGGTTGAGATCAAATGTCAAAGTTTCAGAACTTATTATCCAATTTAAAAGTTGTAAACAATTTTCAGATATTTTGAATGAGAAAATGGGTTCCTTTCCCAGTAGCAGATGCCATTCATTAGCATGTATTTGCGGGCTGTTGGGCAGCCATTGTGCCACTAAGTCCGAAAATTGCTCATAACTTCTAAATCCGATAACAATAAGTTCTGAAACTTTTGCATCTGGTTCCAATCACTGGTGCTACATTTGAGCAGAGACTGAGTGTTTGGCAATGCAGGTTATTTCTGCACTGTGAAAGACATGATTCTCTTTTCGCCCAACCATATGGTACTAACAGAATGGAATGAAACGCGAATGCCAGAATGCATGGCCACGTAACCTTCAATACATGCTGCGCTACCTAGAGCTGATAATTTTCCATATGCATAGCCTCGTAGCCTCCCTCTCCACTCCGCAGTTTTATCGCCTCCAGATAGTGCAGCATCTATCAAAGGCCGTGCATTCTGGCATTCACATTTCATTCTGTTCTGATAGTGCATGTCGTTTTGCTTGCCCATCAAGCATGTACACTCTTTGATAATACAGGCTGAAACGAACTGAGAGAAGACGGGACGTTGAACTAAGGACGAGAAAGAGGCTGGAGACGAGAGTGCAGTGCCACTGCGAGCTCGGCCTGACCATCCAAAGAATGGTAAAAGCCAGCGCCAATATTATGTGGCAAAATTGAATCCAGCCATTGCCATGCATGGGTAGGCAGTAGTAAAGAATGCATAGGCAAGGTGCACTAAAGTGCATCCTGGAACATTGCTTGAAGTTTCGATGACCCCCTTTTAGTAATCTGAGAAAAACTGGAAAAACCTGCGATCGCTTGTTTGGGCTAACAGTATCCCGCTCTATACATGCACTAATCTAGTTTCTCATGCGTGTAAACATATGAGAAACTTCTGGACTTCATATTTTATACATACCCGTTCCATCCCTTCCCCCTCCCCCTTTCCCAAATTCCTCTAAACTTTCCTAAAATAAATAAATAAATAAATAAACTTGAAAAAGAAAACCCAGTTTTCGACTAGATGCCCTAGCGACGAATAGCCCTATGACGAATTGCCCTACGCGACCAATTGCCCTGCTACGAATCGCCCTGTTACGAATTGTCTTTCGACGAACGGCCCGTAGCCCGTGTAAACAGGATGATGGTCTATTGACATGGGCCATGCAGAAAATAATCTTGGGAATTTGAGACGAAGAGCAACAAAACAACGGGAGACAACTACAACACATAAACACAAGAGGCATGAGTTGAGACGAAGAGCAACAAAACAACGGGAGACAACTACAACACATAAACACAAGATGTACGGGTATTTTCAACAAGCTTGTCTACTTCCTAATTCTTTATTCAATCCCCTTTTTTGCCTTTCATACACTTGCAACAACGTCCGAGACTCGGAAGAAATACGGCACTGCACAGGACTAATTTTACATACGCCAAACGCGATAGCACTGGCAATTAAATGCTAGTAACGAGCTTCTACAGGGTGTCACAAAAGAAAATTTACACGGTCTTTTTTACCGCAAAAATAAACTAGGCATCGCCGAACGCTCATTCTCCGCCCAAAGGTAGAGCTAGAGGTCACAACCAGATGCCAGAGTTTCAGCCCCATCCGATAAGTTAATCAAAAGTTATTAGTGATTTTCTGAAAATCTCAATGGGAAAATGGAGCCCATTTTCGCCCGTTTTCGGTTTCTGGTGCCATAGAGCCCCATGTGTTTGAAAACTCCGTCGGCCGCCATTTTCCCATTGAAATTTTCAGAAAATCACTTATAACTTTTGATTAAGTTATCGGATCGGGCTGAAACTTTGGCATCTGGTTGTGACCTAAAGCACTACCTTTGGGCGGAGAATGAGCGTTCGGCGATGCCTAGTTTATTTTTGCGGTAAAAAAGACTGTGTAAATTTTCTTTTGTGACACCCTGTATTTAGAGGGCACCTTTTACAGCCCCTTATCTATGACGCGGCTGCCGATTTGGGGGTCAATGTTTCAGAAAGCCCCGGGTGGAAACGGTGTATGAACACACGTAACCCATTTCTTCACATTTTTTTGTAGAGTTATTTCGAACTTACGAAAGACTAGCCATAGGAAGTTTGCCATTGACAAGTTGCCGAAGACATTACGGCAAGGCTGTGGCCGATTCCAATTAATGCTGAGAACGCGCGAATGTTTTCATTGCTGTTTTGCTAGGTAAGGTGAAATGCAACGAATAACGTCGCGAAACAACGAACTTAGGTTTTCTTGCCTGTCGGCTTTAATAACTACCGCATATACCCACGAAATAAAGTAATCAGTAATCAATCCAGGCGTGGCCGCCAAACAAACGGAAATGCGCCCGTTAGGTTTCTGCAGAGTGAGTGCGTCTTCGCGAGAAATCAAAGGAACGGCCACTAGAAAATTAACATAAAATGTCGAGGGTGTAGTGACTTCTAGTTCTGACCTGAGCATGATTTCGGCACCGCTCCCAGTGCATTAACGCGGTGACATTCTGAAAAAGAACAAACACAGGATAGGTAAGACCGATTCACATGATGATCACATACGCCTGAGCATGACGTGTTCGAGGTTTGATAAATCAGTAGCACGATAAACTTGAGCGCGCATTCCTGTCATCACCGCCAGAAGTGAGCACCACACCTTCTATCAAAGCTCAACTTTCAGTAAAAGCGGAAAAACAGCAGTTCCTACCTTTGACTCCTACATTCTTCGAAGAAACGCGACATACACGCGCCCTACACAAACACGATGACCATTGTTGCACACTGACGGCAATAACGACTGCATTACTCCGCCCTCACTATTCCGCTCAAATATTCGTGAATATGCCAGTTATTCTATAGTACGCTTATACGTCGCGCTAAGCCAGTGGCGCTAGTGTACAACTCCAGATGGACAAGTTATCGCGCGGGAAAACGCAACGTGCTGTTGCAAGCTGTTCGAACTTCGTCCCTGCTTCACTCCCTACACCTCCCACAGAAAATGTTGATGTCTCCAATTGAAGGTAGGTAGGTTGGTATTCATTTATTTGCGCCCGTAAACGCAGGCGCATCAGAAAGGCACGCAGCACGTATAAAGTACGTGCCTGTGAGAATGGGTGTATCCAGGATTTTTAAAAGGTAAATATATCAGCTTGGACTTTATAATTATACTTGAAAACGAGGCAAGAAAGAACAGGAGTGTATAAACAGCTGACTTCCACCGGTGTTTTAGTGTAAACTTCTCCCTTTAGCGTTTGCTTCTTCATTCAGAGGCCAAAGTAGAGCACGATAAACGTATTACATAAATAAACCTATTGCACTATAAGATTACTACTGATAATTACACTTATACAAAATTACACAGAAATAAAAGGTATACAAGCGCCGAAAACAACAAGGACGAAGACGAAGGCGCCTTGTGCTTGTCTTACTTCGTCTTCGAGAGCTGACGAAGTGATCGTAAGCGGACGCTCTGTTCCTTCGCGGCTTCTTGAAGCCCCAATTTTGGATCGTATTCCTTTTCAATCGGAGAGGGCGCCCCTTCAGGGCCCCCGTTCTAGCCCCGATGATGTCCCAGCAAGCCGGAGAGGGCATGCATGAGTGGCAGTGCCTTCGGACGTCCTGGCTGCAGCAGTAGATGCGGTGAATGTCACGTGACAACTGGCAAAGAAAAAGTCGATTGCACGGATCGCCTCGCCAAGTGCTGGAACTGCAAAAGTTCACATGAGACAATGTCACCAATATGTCCTATACTCCGTGTCACCAGTTGTGTGCAGTGCAGGCGAAGGCAACGCCAGGCGAAGAGAGAAAGGGCGAGCACTAGGAAGGCGGGACGGGAGAGGAGGGCAATGGAGAACGAGGGGAGAAAGGGAGACCACGTTAGAGAGGAGAGGGGTTTCTCTCCTCCTCCCCAGGCTTTTTAGTTCTTGCCTTTTCTCCCCTCCCCTGGCGCTGCCTTCGCCTGTACTGCACGCAACTAGTGACACGGAGTATAGTTGGAAACGTGAACAAGACATTCTAACCTATGCCAAGAATCATGATCTGAGCTTTCCTTCGGCGCAATCGTCACTCCAGCAGCTGAAGCACAGCTACTCGTCAGTGAATAATCCACAACCTAACAAAACTAACTGGCCCACCACTGATTGTGGAGTCAAGCAAGAAGATGGCAGTGCAAAAGGCACCTCGAACTCCACGTCCAGGAATATCATATCCCGCTGCTCTGGCAAAACAAGAGCCAAGCATTCCAGTCACCTTTTCCGAAACGAAACCAAATTCAGAGCCTTCACATACGGTGGCTGAAAGAAAGCAGAAACCAAAACAGGCAAAGAAAAACATCTCGGAAAAGGAAACAGACACTGTCGAGACAACCTGGACCTCGATTATGAAGCTGATACTCAATTTATCTTGCAATGTACTTGCCTTAATTGCAGCACCCTGGGCTCAAACCACTCACTCAATACTGACAACGCTCCTCACTCTCTTCACTGCCTAAGTCTTATTTGAGGCCATGAGCAGTGGAGGAAATCTAAAGCTGCCAAGAAAAGTACCACTGCTGCTTTAATGGAACTGCGCTGGAATTCAACCTCGTCTTCAAGTGTTAAAGCTACTGCTACTGACAATGCCTATACCAATTCTTGCACTATGTGAAGCGGGCTTACCGCTGCAGCGAACAATTACCTGGTACGACGTATACAGAAACCCATCCATCTCATCGCTTCCCAGTGGTAGTGCTGCACTCTATCTGCGAAACGGAGTGCCTCATATAGAGCTCCAAGTTGATGATTTGTGCACGGAGCTGCTCGACCTTGCAGCGGCCAGAGTGAAACTTGGAGAAAAATACCTCAGCGCCGTATCGGGGGTTTATGTGCGACCACGTGTAAAGGTAGCGGTAGACGCCAGGCACTTAGCCAAGGGGGGAGGGTATGGGGCCCGGCCCCTTCCCCCCCCCCCCTTCCCCCCCCCCCCCCCGAAATCTTCCATTTTGCTTGGACCTCCTCTCCCTCTCCCCCTTATACAGCATTTTTTCATGGGCGCCCCCCCCCCCCCTCCCCCCCTGAAACAAAATCCTGGCTACGTGCCTGGTGCTGTCCAGCCCCAGTAATCATATGTGGCGCTTGGGACGCTCACGAATTGTGGGAAGACGTAAGACTTGATGAACGAGGACGAATACTGGCCGACATTTTAGATAAGGAAGAGCTCACAATCGCAAATGACGGATCACATACCTTTTACAGATCTCCTGCCTCTTTCCAGGGGCGGATCCAAGGGGGGGGGGGGGGGGGGGGGGGCGGCCGCCCCCCTTTCCCCTCCAAACGATGTCGACCCCCCCCCCCCCCCCGCCTCCCCCCTTCTCGGAGAGCGATTTGACATGGGTGGACTCCCCGCGCCCCGGTGCACTTACACACCTTGCCGCCCCCCGAAAAAAAAAACAACGAAAAAACAACAACAACAAAAAAAACGGAGTTTTGGATCTGCCCCTGGCTCTTTCAGTGCCATAGATGTGACCGCACATTCGTCGGAACTTCACGCAACGTGACAAATAGCTCTTGACACGATGGACAGTGCTGAGCTTTCTCCGTAAGTTGTGGTGAATGGCCCTCCGAGGGGGTGTTGTGCGGGAAAGTAGACGCACGGGCTTTTTCAGAGTGATACCACCGAATTTCAATGTGACTTGGACACTGAGACGCTTTCCCTTTGCCGCTTGGTTGAAATGTCAGAATCCTCACGATCAGTGGTGCAGGCAATAAGGGGAATCAACCCCCCCCCCCCCCGCCCCCCCCCCCCCCCCCCTTCCCCGTCACCGGGGCCCGCTCGCTCCCCTGCTCATGCAGTCGGTTTTTGCACGGGGCATGGAGCAAAGGGGGAGCGCGGACTATCTCCAACTTATGCTCTTTCGGGAACAGTGTTTGAGGGGTAGAAAATGCTCAAATAAATAGAATAAGCAATATTCCTTCATTCATGTTTATTTGATAGGATGCGGAACTTGATCTCAGATATATAGAGAACGGATATTTCGAAACATAGAAAATTATTCTTACACGTCTCCATAACTTTTTTTGTAAAACATTGTATGTTAACAGACAATCAGTTTGGTTTTCGAGAAGGTAAATCGACTGAAGCTGCGTTGTTATTTCAAAAGGAAATCATATTACAAAACATAGAAAGGAGACTTATTACGTTAGGTGAATTAATCGATTTTAGCAAAGCATTTGATGCCTAAATCACAAAATTTTGCTTGCAAAATTAAGGTCGTTAAGGCGTCCGTGGTGTGCCACTTGCGTTGCTGAAATCATATTTACAACATCGGAAACAGTGCGTTGTTATTGATGGTCATTGCTCTTCTTTTCGAAATGTACAGCAAGGAAGTATATTAGGACCTATTTTGTTTAATGTGTTCATCAATGATATTGTGAATGTTGATAATGAAGCGCAGTTCATTATTTATGCAGACGACACAAGCCTGTTTCTCTCTTGTGCTGATACTAATGTAGTAATATGCAAAGCAAACTATGTTCTAAAAAAGTTTTCTAAGTGGTCTGAGGTAAATGGGCTCAACGTAAACGCAACAAAATCGAAGGCTATTTTATTCAGGGCTACTAACAAACGAATCGTGGTAAATTATACAGTCCATCTTGGCAGTTCGGAAATCTAACTAGTAAATAAACATAAAACTTAAGGTGTATTTTTTTTCGGAGCACTTAACGTGGGAATCTCATGTCAACTACCTAGTTGGTAAACTTTCTCGAATTGTCTGTATTGTCGCTCGTTGTCGGAGTGTTTTACCACCCAACATAAAGCTACACATTTACCACGCTCTATTTCAGTCTCATTTAAACTATTGCCATCTCGTATGGGCTACAACGACAAAAACAAATCTTCAAAATATATTATTACTGAAAAAAAAAAAAGTATTCTATATTGCGGATGTTTCGCATACGGACCACACAAAACCTTTGTTTACAAAATTTAGAATACTTCCTGTTGCGTGCATGTACGGATACCGTTTATAGTCTGTGTGATTTGTTTTTTATCTGAGGCATTTTTAGATTGTTTGCACATTATTTCAGGACTCAAAATGAACGAAAGTAATGTTCACACACTCCGTACAGAGACATATGTGCTTCCTCAATCTCGCGCAAACTATAACTTCACTACATTCTAATGTACCATGTTTATTGAAAAAGTATATTACACAGAACAGAAACATTTACACGTTAAATAAAAAAGACCTCCGCTTGTACTGTGTGTAGCTTCGCGTTGTGGGAGTTTGAATCACATGTTTTTGTTGCAAGTTTCTTTAATTTTTTATTTATTTTTTATTTTTATGCAACACGTGTTTTTGAGTGTCAAAGCTGCTGCCAATGTAAAGGGATCGCAGACTCAGTCAAGCTGTTTTTTAACAGCTCTTTGTCTGACGATCCCTTCAGTTTTCTGGAAAATAAAGATTTGATTTGATTTGATTTGTGGGGTGAAGGATGGCAATTTCAAGGCAAAGTATCCTCAATAAACTACACAGCTCAATCGAACCAAAGCGAACATAATAAAACGAACGCATGGTGATGATATAAAACAATGTCAGTGATGTAATATTAAATTAATTGTAAAAAACAATTGCACTGTAAGCAACGAGTGGTGCTGCGCTCACGCACACCTTGAGTACTGATCATAATTAAGCGCTTTCGACTAGAAATTACCACAAATAAAAAAGTAACTGTGACTAGTTATTTCAAAAAGCAATTTACAGGCTCTCTTGATCATCTCATTTATGCCAAGAGCCCCCACATCAAGAAGTAGCCTGCGTTCACGGAAAA